TGGATTTCAGCAACCCAATCATATGGTCCAAGAAAGGTCAACATGTAAGCTGTTGTCTCTTTGAATCCTGGAAGAAGTTGATTCATGTTCCTTCTTTGAATACCAGGCCCGAGCGTGGAGATTCAATCTGACTGCTTCCGTTGACGCTTATCGAGAGATGCTTCAATTAGAAAAAGGACTACGAGAACGAACCCTTCGACTCACTCCGTTCGAGAAGACGAGGTCCAGTTGTCCCCGGTGTTTTGGACATTACTCACGAAGCCTTCATGAAGATGAACCAGAGGTACTAGTATGTCTTGATTGCAATTTTCAGCAACGTCGACATAAGTCCGCTAGTGTGGAACTGGATAGTATCCATCGCACAACACCTGCAATCTTTTTACCAGCCGAACGACTCGAGAAATGGGCTCGACAGCCTGAACCCCAGCGATCTTTGACTACAGTATGTTCTGATTTATCTGTGTGGGTAGATAGGAAACTGACATGTCTTTCCCCTTTTGAATGCTTGTTAGGACACTTGTACTAAGTCCCACACGGCTGCAAACAATCAACGTGACGGGAGATCATGGCGAGCCTGTGATGACACAGGATTAATGGTTATGTGCTGTAGGCACAATAACGTCTTGGCATATGCAATTGTAGTACAGAGTGGGGAAAAGTTTGTCCAATCACTTTTAGGATTGTTCGGCTTTTAAAGACTTTTAAAAACATGTTGTACTGAACTGATCACTCTGTCTTCTATGATTACTTATAGAGCTTATTTTGCTCACGCTTTGCTGGACTGGCTATTTGACCAACTACGGACCGCGGAGGAACCAGACACAATTGTTGGCGTGCTTTACGATATCGGATGTAATCTTGAAAAGGGTCTTATCCGTGTTAGTCATGTCAAATAAATGAATAATAATCAAAATTGAATTGTTTTCTGATTTTTAATTTTCTAGCACAAGTTGTTCAAGGAAGAGAGACAGGCTGGTCGAATGAAATTCGCTACCGGTGCATGGCACTCCTATGCCCACAATTATGGCTGTCAACTGGCCTACGACCCTTGAAAGAATAAGGGATGGGGGATGTCGGATGGTGAAGGACCTGAAAGGAACTGGTTCAAGCTATCACCGCTGATAAGCCCACTTCGATATGCAACAAGCATTCATAGGCTGGTTGCTATAGACCTCAAGACCTCTCATATGAATCGCATCTGCCTTCAAAATGCAGGTAAGGAGTTTTTGCATTGTTACAAATGATGAACCATATCTAACGCTGACATGATTATTCTAGCTTGATATTCTGAATAACCACGCTCTGTCTGACTTAACTCAACAGCTTGAACGTTTGATTGAACTGGAAGAACAGTGTTGTGTATCAATGTAAGGCTTAATCTATTTTCCATTTGGTTTTGAAAATAAATGAAAGTGCTTACATAGAATTTATGATGATACACAGGCAACGGCTTGAGGACCTTCGTAACAAGCGTCGACGACCTCAGACTGCTGAGGAAAATACAGAGCTAGCTACTCTCCCGGCCAACTTGGTCTTTCTGGAGGTAGAAATCAACGAATGTGTTGCCGAGCTGGGGAGTGACGACTTTCGAGACATTCCAGAGGCCAAAGGTTTGTAAAGTCTCACCTGATCATAAGTTAGAAAGATGTTCTTACAATGAATTCTTAACCAGACCCGAGAGGAAAAGCTAGAATTTGAATCCAAGTTGCTAAGGCCAAGCTTTATGAAGCCAGAGTGGGAGTAATCGAGCTACAAAAGCGCTGGGATCAACCTGGCTTAGGTATTTCTCAATTCTGCTTTTGTCGGAGTGTTTTACTAATCAATGGTTTTGATATCTAAGGTACAAGTGTTCAAGATTCATTCAAGAAACAAATGAGAAATAAAAACCAGCTGTTGAAGCAGAAATGGAAAACATTTCATACTCAAGTTTCCAAATACAACAACACATACCTCGACCACGACCCAATAGAATGTCCAAGCCTTGAATGTACGGAGAAGATGGATATCGAGGATGTATTTTGGAATTTTGGTAATCTTACACATCCGGACGCAGACTGGGCGGTGAATCGAGCTACACAGGCGGGCATTCAGGCTTATCTGAAAGTTCGGAGCTGTGAGGAAGAGCTTTGCCGAATTAGATGCGAAGTCCTTCACATCATTGACTGGTCACTCTCAATGGCGGACAAGCTTCAGCTCTTGGCTACTGTATGCGACGAACGTGAGATTCCATCTTTGCTATATTCAGTCCCAGATTTTAGGCTGATTTCTTCCTTGATAGCATGGGATACAACAAGCCGTTTCAACTACGCAGAGGTAATCAAATGGGTATATGGCCATGAGCGAGTTTTGAAGCAGAATTGGGAGGAGTGTGTGGAGGTATTATTCTCGCATCACTCCCATCTCCTGCTGGAGCACTGCCAGCTGTGGATAAACTGGGGTTCTGACTTGAACACGCTCTTGGTTAGAACATGCAGCTCAACTGATGTCCCCATCCCGGTCTATGAAGAGTTATCAGCGTTATGGAGTAACCTGCTGCAGGCTGCCCTAAACACACAGGAGGCGCTGGTGCAAGGTGAAGAACATGCTGTAGATGAGGTGCTTGAAGGTGTTGCTCGTGCTGCCAACGAAGATGATGAGATGTATAATAATTTAGGATTACTTCTCCACGATGTTGTGCTAGATGGTGGAGAATTGTAAACCATGAATTCATATGAATGATCCAGAAGCATCTGGCTGAAGAACTTATTTTAACTACAGAGGCATCTGGGGTTTCATATGAAGCGAGTTTAGGAGTGAATGGGCCAGAGGCATCTGGGGCGGCCAAAAGTTGAGGCGCATAATATTCCAGATGCATCTGCTTGAGTTCAATGTGCATGCAGATCAACCTGGACAAGGCGTCACTTCAGTGAAGTGGCATAGCTCCAGATGCATCTGGAAAGGTGAGTTTAGTGGATCCAAAGCGGTAGACCCAACTCCAGATGCATCTAAGAAGCTCAGATAAATCTGTCTCAGGTGCAAGCATCATCTGGTGGACACCCTGGAGACTACAGATGAGTCTGTTGTGCGTAAGGACTTGTTCTGCTTGGAGTGCAGTCATTGCTATAGGCCTCTCAGATGGATCTGGTAGCTGTCTGTTGAAGTTCATCAAGGCAGTACATCCAGATGCATCTGCCCCTACACAGGTTGAGGGACTCCAAGTACACGGGATATATCATCAGATGCATCTGTCGCTCTGATTTTGATCTGTGTGCTGTTTTACGGGCTCAATCCGTAGGAAACATACATACATTTTAATGGGTGTAGTCCGTGCGTTTCCTGTGACACAGGTGAATGATTTATGTCCAACAATATCCCAAACTCAAAAGGTTTTCTGTCCAGCAATATATTGTAACTCAATTTTTTTCATCCATTACCCCTGTGGCACCATGAATATTTATCTCAATACAGCTTGAGTGCCCCCTTTATGACCATCAAGGGGCCCCAAGGCAAAACAGCCCTGTGGTGTTGGTACTTTTCATGTCAATACAACTGGAGCTTGATGGCCAGCAAGGGGCCCTGAGGTTGGGTTAGCACCAAGTCTGTTTCATACAGCTATAGTACTTCCTTGGGTACCTACCCTGGGGCCATATATTGGGTTACAATCAGAATATTATTGGACAGAAAAACGTTTTGCGTTACAATCAAGGTATTGGTGGATTTAAAAAACATTTCAAGTACAATTGAGATATTTGTGGGTGAGATACCATTTTGAGTTATAATTGGGATATTGGTGGATGGAACAACATTCTGAGTTCCAATTGGGACATAAGTGAATGGAAAAAACATCTTGAGTTACAATTAGGATATTGGTGGAAGGAAACAGCATTTTGAGTTTTCATTAAGGTATTGGTGGATGTACAAACATTACAAGTTACAGTTAAGGTATTAGAACTGTCCAAATGGTTTCAGCCACCATCTGAAGTTCTTTTGAAAATTCTCTGAAATCTCTTTGAAATTCCTCTGAAGTGTCTCTGAAATTTCTTTGAAAAAATTCTTGAAGTTGTTGTAGTCTCTGGCCTGTCAGTGACTAGTAGCTGGGGGCTGTGAGCCAATTCCAATGAATCCTCAACCCAGCCGTAGTGGTCAAATCCATTTTCAAACATGCAAGAGAATAATTTTGCTTGTAGAGCAGGGTGAAATATAGTGGCTAGAACTATAGTATCACACCCAAGTGATTCTTCTACATGGTGATTTTACCTAACATCCCATGCACCATTGGGGTGAGTGGATCATTCATACAACTGGCTGCAGGTACACCTCAAATACCATAAGACCATCAAATCTCAGATATTTGGAAGCACAATGAGCAATGAGAGTGAATGAGGGGTGAGTTGGTCAGCATCACCTGATAGTGTTTTACATGTATGTGATATCCTCAAAGATCTACAATATGTTCAATATTGAGCTTTTCTTATCTCAGACTACCAAGTCAGGCTTCAATCAGTAAATCAAGAATTATCCATGAACCCTTCTCTCATAGGGGTCTATACATTCCCTCACCTTCTTGCACAAAGAGACAATGCTATATTGTGTTGATTACTTCAGGATCTTACAAAATGATTGGCTGATTATTGAATAAGGATGTCAGACCCTGCTGTCTGAGACAATCAGGTGGTTTCTGACAGGAGTGCCAGCTCAATTTGTGTTTATCTCCTTGCTCACAAGACCCATGAGCTCATCACCTTTGAACCTATTGTAGCACTCCCACTACTTGACTAAAAACAAGCAGAGGAGATAGTTGCCAATCAAGCCAGTATTAGTCAAAAAGTAACCTATTTGGGGACCTCTTGGAGTACCTGGGAATCGAACCCAGCGCCTCTCGCAATCAATGGCACAAGGTTGCTAAGCGAGCGCTCTACCGATGAGCTAGAACCCCGATGACGTCTTCGACAAACATGGCGTTCAGAAACCGGAAGTAAAGGACCATCACGTCGCACATTGCGTGGCGCATTACACTCGCAAAAGGAGAGAACATAGCATGGAAAGTGAGAATAAGATGGAAAACAACATCTCAATTCGAGGAAGAAATGTATGCGTTACTCAAGATCCCGAGAGTGTAGTTACCTAGCATTACAAGTTGATGCGTTTCAAGTCGATTTGTACAGTATTTGAAAGTTCATGAAGAAACGAGAACGGAATTTGAAGGAAAAGCTTGAGCGATAACCTACTCATAGAGGGCGGCATGACCCTTTGCCACACTATCTTAGTGGACTGAAGCTGTTGGGTAGCAAGACATTGGCATCCATCGAGTCACACAACTTGACGGTCTGTGAGCGTAAAAGGGACAAAAAGGATAGATGGTGAAAAGCTTGAAAGTAAAAAACCAAAGAGCAGGTATCAGATGCTTACGTTAGATACAGTCTTACTCCAAGTGTCAACTTGCCAAGCCTGTTCTCGTTTTTTGAGTCGAGCTTGTAAGGATGGGTATTGCCACATATGATGAACTTGATGAAGTCGTCCAACTTGTGCAAACCAAGCTCCGATAGGTTCAACGAATTTCCTACGGGCTTCTAAGCCTCTACGCCATTCAGTTTCCCATTCGAGTAGGGTACCTGGTTTCTGTCAATGGTTTGGGGTGTTGAAAAATGATCAGAAGGTAGGTAAAAAAAACTGAAAGAAGGATAAGGAATGATCCACTCACGAGTTGATAACTACGCATTTCGTAGATACCACCGTTCACCTTTGGCCCTGAGCAAGGCCAGAATGCAAATTCACGACAGAGTTGAGATGTGCGGGATTGAATGAGAGGTCGAAGATCCTTTAGAAATTGGGCGTGCTCCTGATTCACAAGTATCAATCGGTCATTACTACTTTCTCTCTGTCTCAATGGAACATAAAGTGACGCACTGGTGATTCTCGTATTTTACTAGTCGCATAGTCATAGCCTTCGTACCCTTCGAATTCCCAAATGTGAACTGAAAACAAACAAAGATCAGAATTATTGATAAGACTGCAGTGAGAGAACTGAAGTATAAATGGGTATGTCAAATGCTTGCCAAAACTATCGAGCTCTCCAACTACCACCTCAAAAGAACCCTTGAGATTCATTTTCAAGTCTTTTTGGGTGTTCAACTTGTCGAAGTAAGATCCTCTGAGGTGAAAGGAGTCATGATAGGAATTTCAGTAAGTCGATTCTTGAAGCTTGATGTCAATCTATAGCTTGATGAAACCTTGCCTTACATAACCTGTTTGTATTGATCCACGTTCTGGGGATGTATATGATGCTCTGAAAGATGTACAAGTCTGGTTAAGATTCAATGCGATGAAGCGGATGGGAAGCTCCAACAACACTCACTTTGAATCTCGCTGATACTCTTTGAGCCAACTGTGGTGCTGTGGCTTTGTAGTGCTTCATTCTCTTGTCTCGCTTGTTCTGAGCCGTGAAGGAAGGAGTTGATCAATTTAGGAACAATCGGCTTCTCGGCGTTGATAGTAGCTGAAGTAGAGAACAATGCGCGGCATGCAGGCCTTCTGAGAATCGATGAGGCCATTGGATGATAGAGTGGTAGTGGAGCAGGTGGAGCTGAGTTGATCGGTGTGAACTCCGCCACTGTTCGATCAACTTCTGTCGTGGCCCATTTCACGGGATCTGTTTCTCTCAGTGACAGGCATGATGTGATGCTGAGTCCTGACCTGTGACAGAGCCGAAGTCCGCTCCGAGGGGTTGACGGCTGCACGGGCTTAGTAAACTCAGTCACTTGCCATCTCAGTACCACGCCCTCCTTTTATCTTGGTTTTTGAGTCTTGGTATGAATATGTATTTGCCTCCTTTGCCGAATTTATCGCATCCCATCCATTCTTTAAGTTCATTACAGCCGTATATTGACGTCCAGACACGAATTATTTGATCAGCTGGAGAATCTAAATCACGTTTCACAAGTCATCATGTCCTCAACTCACGAAAGTTTGGGCGAAACCGTGGAACTGCCATATGATCCTAGATTACTCAACGCCACGGTGGTCAAACCGCCATCGGGACCTCAGACATCATCCCCATGCAAGAGTCAAATGACTCCTGAAGCTCGTCTTCGCATGGAAGAGAATCGCCTGAAAGCTGAAGCACTCAAGGCTGAACGTAGGAAAGCCCAGGACGCTCTTCGTCATGCTGAAACTGAGAAAAAACGTGCAGCTGGAGAGATTCGATTGAGAGAATTCGGTCTCAAAGCCGGTCCGAGTAAACAACCACTCATTACTCAACACATTCGAAACCCGGATAAAGCACTTCAAAACAAGATGGCAAACGAAATTGAACAAATACTCACATGGGAAGAACGGGCAGGAGCTCCACAGCTCTATACCCCAGATCCAAGATGCTCAGACGAACAATTAAGGGTGCTCGACGAAGTAGGTTCCCCATAGTTCAAGATAAAAGACTTGGTATATATAGCTTAAGCTGACGCAAGTGATTCACAGGTAAGGCTTGGTCGCAATGTATTCTTTACGGGTTCCGCAGGAGTGGGGAAAAGTTTCATGTTGAATGAGGTGGTCAAGATGCTGAAGGCATCTAATCGTAATGTGGCTGTGACGGCTCCAACGGGTATTTTGCATTCACTGGTTTCTATAAAACTTTCGCGCGAAAGGCATATGTCAGGATTTTGAAGCTTACTCAGACAATTGTCACTTTCACGATCCCAACAGGTATCGCTGCTTTGGCTATTGAAGGAAGAACAATATATTCTTGGGCCAAGATTGGACTCGGGCGAGGCTCTGTTCACGAGCTCTATAACTCGAGTTCTGGATCCCGAGTCTTCCAATCGAAACCCAATAGCAAACCTGAGGGTATCATGGGCACTGATGTACTAATTGTCGATGAAGTATCTATGGTATGTTATCTCGATTCCCTAACCCAACTGGTAAATTAACGTCAGATCTGTTTACTTTAGCTTCAAGCTGAGCTATTCGAGAAAATATCTCTGCTTTGTCAAGCAGCTAGACGTGTCAGGTCTCCTTTTGGTGGGATTCAAATAATCCTATCGGGCGATTTCTTTCAATTACCACCTGTGTCTAAGGATGAAGGATTTTCTTGTATGTTCTGCGGCTGCACTGGTTTCAAACGTGATAAAATGACTGGTAATATACAATGTGTTCGCCCATTCAATAAGGCTTGGGACGGTACACCTTGCGGAAGGGAAAGACCTGAGTATACATTCTGTTTTGAAACACCTACTTGGAGAGAGCTAAACCTCTGTGTCATTCAACTACAAAAGGTTTAGTCCATTTCGAACATTGGTATTACGATAATAGGGTTTGGAAATTCATGGGTTTTTACACGTTAGGTATTTCGTCAAGAAGATAAAGATTTCATTGACATCCTTAACAAGGTGAGACCCAAGAATTCTGGACTCATAGAATACACCATCAGCTGATCCAAAATGTAACTTGCATGAATTCATTGAAGATCAGGTGGGGCCAAGTAGATGAGAATGTCGACAAATTGATGTTGTCACGTAGCAAGCCTCTACAGGAACATCAAATCAAGGTAAAAAGCTTTGCGATAACTAATCACCGTCCCATTCTGATGAATCTTACACTTTTCTATCATCGTATAGCCAACTCGGCTATATCCCAAGAATCAAGATGTTGACGTTGAAAACTCCAAGAAATTCAATTTACTCAAAGAAACTGCACACTCATTTGCATCCTTTGATACGGTGAGCGAAAGTAAATATGCACAATCATTGTGAGACCTATTTTATCTGCACTCTTTGTTTTTTTTCGTCTACTTATTTATTAATCTGATGCTTGTTTCAGTCTATCTCGATTGAACGACCTTCAAGCTCGTAAAAATCTGCAGCTCAAGGTATGGCGACATATTCTTGACTTTTTAGCAACAGACATATTGACTCTTGCTTTTAGGTTGGCACTCAAGTAATATTGTTAGCCAATCTTGATGTGGGAGGAAAACTTGTTAACGGATCTCGCGGAGTTGTCATAGATTGGAGAGAACGTCCGGATTACACTACAAGTGATAGTGAAGGGTTTGATTCCTCAAAACATCGTGCCGATCGCTTGCGTGATGCTGGTCGGATAGCCTGGGCCGAACAACAAGATCATAGCTACCTCCCCGAGGTTTTATTTTCAGATGGTCGAGCGGCTGTGATTGAACCCTACATTTGGAAAGTTGAAATCGATTCAAAAACGCTTCTTACACGTACTCAGCTTCCGCTTGGTCTAGCGTGGGCACTGACGATACACAAGGCACGTCCCTCCTAATATGTTGTTGGCGTCTCATTCCTCGCATAACCGAATCCACATCTTTACATCCATCACAGTCCCAAGGTCAGTCGCTTGATCGACTTTGCGTTGAACTTCGTGGAGTCTTTGAATGCGGACAAGCCTATGTGGCTTTGTCCCGAGCTCGATCTCTCGAAGGCTTGGAAATCAATGGTTGGAATGTGAGTATATATGTTAGAAAGCCACGCTACATGGGCAGATTCTGATGTTTCATAATTTATCTCTGAAAGGTTGCATGCGTACGAGCCAACCCATTAGTGCAAAATTTCTACACCTGCGTCTCCACTGGCAAGTCATAGTAAGTTATTTCCATCTTCTACTAGCAACTCTCAAAATGAATAGCTAATGTGGAAAACACTCTTACTATCTAGTACCAATCTGAGTGTCCCTTCTCGTCAATTGGAAGATTTCTTTCCTGGCTCCAGTGACGCGCTGAACCCTTCTCCATTAACATTTGTCAAACTACCCAAACATCTACCTCCCATCATCAAAACTTGGGGCAGCACTGACGGAGCATGGAGTCACCAACATCAAGAATCAGAATTCATTGATCTAATCTCACCCGACCCGACCCCAGCAGGATCTATCCACAATGCCAAAGAAGATGATGAGTGGAATGTATCGACACAGATGTCAGTTGATGAAGAAGCTAGCCAAACAATAAGGGAATCGCCTTCCCAAAATCAAGAACTATCATGGGAATTACCTTCTCAAAAGAGTGAACTCTCGTCATCTCAACAACAGATATCATCAAACTCTCGCCGGACTGCAGCAATGGAAAGATGCACATCTCATATCTCTAATGCTCTAAACCAAATCGCTGGTGAATTATCATTACTTCCGGCACATGAATTACAGAGATTTGATGTTGAGAGTTTAGCCAATCATGCTGCTCGAGCTATCAGAACTCACCTTTCAGAGCGTTGTTCTCTTCTATCATCATCGCAGCAGCGCTCTCCAAAGAAATGAGGATGTTTTTCCAGTGTGGAATGATGTTGAAAGATTTAAGAGTTTTGCTTCTTTTTTGTAAATTGTATTATGTTAGCAGGTGCTGTGTTTTTCTTGACTGAGATCTTAATATCAATAACCTGGTTATGAAATTCTCTGGCCAAGAGAAGTTGTGAATATCAGGAGGCTGAGACTTGGATCTTGAGTGGGCTAGTTTTTATGAATTAGCTTATACAAACTTAAGTCCCTTATGAGAGAAGGGGTCGCGAGGAAAAAGGGACTTAGTTACGTTTGGCTTTTAATGCAATCTTCCTTTTTCCACCAGCCAACATAACACTTGAAATGAATATTCAATTTTTTGAGCTATAACTCTGGGTACCATCAATCATGATGTCAGCTCCCATTTCACTGCAATAGGTCACTAGCAAGTACTCGGTCGAGCTGTTTCTGGGAGACTGCTCAAAAAATCTTTGGTATTGCTTTTGATTTTTTGTGTGTACCTTGTTTCAAAGCTGTCCCAAAGCTTTGTTCCTCTTGGGAGACTTCACAGATTTATATACAAGCATGTTTTCAGGACTTCAAGCAAAACTTTTCAGCATCAAGCATACTCACAAAGTTTGCTCAATTGTCTTGGAAATCTTGCCTGTATTCCTCAACCTGATTCACTGTAATATTATCCACTAGGCATCTTGAATCTATGATACGGTTTTGGGTTTTTCTCCCAGCCAGAAGCAAAGCTTGTAACATGGATGTGTAGATGTCCAGACAACCTTTACAGGATTGAGCATGTCCCCAAATGCCTAGTCCTCATTTCACTGCAATAAAACTACTCTCAGGGAAGATAAAATGCAAAACCTCTGAATCTTCAACTGATAAAATGTTTGTGGGAATTGAGATGACAACATTTACTACGCAAGATTAGGTATCTTTATTGGAATAATTTATCATTCAAGACATATCCTGAAAACTTAAGCCTAATGAAAGTACCAATTTTTAACTTCAAGATCGTGCTCCCCTGGGATTGGGTTCACGAATTGAGAAAGAAACACAAATCATGTATTTTTATGTTACCAGATATGTTTGAAGGAACTGTGATATTTTTTTGGTTATGGCAAGGTTGCACTCCATGTCATCTTTGAGATGTGTAGCATCCCTTGAAAGCTCATTGGAACTTGTTTTAAGGTTCTTTTTCACTGTGAAAATGGCCTGTTATGCAGTCGTGGTATCTGCTGGTGGCCTCTCCAGATTATCGTGGCATGTTTACCGTTTTTATTCAGGAAGGCTATGTCCATATTTATCCTTGTTTGTCTGCTTCATAGGTATCTCTTAGGTTCGCTGGCCACCCCATAGGTTATTGTTAATTATCACACGCAATTATTATCACCCCTGGGCATTGACATTTACCCCTAAGAGTTTCACCTACATTTTTGTCTTTGTATTTCTAGTATCTTTATACTGATCATATGCAAGGCTATTTTTCTATTCAGCTTTATTCACATTTCCAATAAATATTGAGGATTTGTCCAACAAATCTTGGGATTGCTCGCACTAGAAGCATGCATTGATTTCAGCTACTTGAGCTACTCACTACTCCAACATTGACCACCAGGAACACAAGGGCCTTATATCGGAATCAGATGGATGCAACCACTTTGTTGATTCAAAAAGTGGGTCATTGAGCTTAGAGTCCAGTTCCTACAACAATTTGCAAATTGAGCATGAGTTGCTGAGTTTTGTACTGTTGAATTATATTTTGTTCAAAAACGGAATTCATACTGACCATCAATTCCTCAGGTGTTGATGTTCTTGTATAGTGACACTGAATCCCTCGCAATTTAAAGGCCTCGACCAGCTGAGGACTTCGTTGCACAACGTGGTCCACGAAGACTATGTGTTTAAAATTGGGTACTTTTTGAAAAGCGTTGACACTGGCTGATTCTAAAGTTTCCTTCCAATACCTCTCCCAAGGTTTGAGGAGCATCACAAATGTTCGAACATTTTGAAACATTCGCCAGTCTAGCCAATCCAGTGTCAAGTCTTGACATGAGAGATACCAAGTACAGAATACTCGAAGTTTTGAAAATTCCATCTTGAGAACAGAAGGGGAGATCTGATCGTTGAAGGCTTTAGTAAAGCAACCCTCGAGATTATCTTTGATTGGTTCAAAGATGGTACTGATGTTAAGTTGATCTTCTGAAAAGGAACTCTCTGTACCGCTATCACTGTCTTCTGATTCGTTTGAATAAGAAAGCCCGATAACTTTTAGACTATCTTTTGCGGTCTTGCAAATGTGAGTGAGAGCTTCGATGTTGGAGCTAGAAGGTGCAAAAGAAAACTTCTTCAACTTGGATAGAGCATTAGGTCCTAGTTCGAAACCTTTGAGATTCCAATAGTTAAGTTTCAAGGATTCAACTTGAGGAACAGCAGTAATCAGATCCGCTAAAGACTGTGGATCGTATATTCCCCGTGATGAGATGGGCTCAGAAAGATGTGAAATGCCCAATTCTTTTAGCTCTTTGAGGGCCTTAAAAGCTTCGACCATAGCTGGTGAAACACCCATTGACAAATTAAAGTGAAAGAACACCTTGTTCAAGTTAAGGCCGAGCATTTCTATGAGCCGTACCGCCTGACTCATCGTCACTGGAGGGTATTCTTTGCGACCTGCATCAACAAGACAGTCAACATATACTATGGTCAGATCTGTTGAGAGTTTTGAGAAAGTTACCCTCATCAAACCAGTTATCTTCATCAAACCAGTTATCTTCATCATCGGAGTCATCTAATTCTTTATTCCACAAAAATCTGATGTAAAGGCGCCTCACGGGACTTGTGAGGTTTAAGCCAAAAATAGAATTGCTCCAGTTGTCCATAAGAGTTTTTACGCGAATCGAATGCCACAACTCGATAGTATAGAAATACATTGCGGTGATCACCTGAGCCCATGTTCTGCAAACTAATCTTAAACTAAGGAGCCGAATGCATAACTCAGACGTGTCGGGAAGGAATGCGGTCGCAAGTTCTGACGGACCGCCATTGTAAATGGTGCACCGCGGCTTATCGGTGGGGAGGCGGAGAACGTAGTTCAGGATGCGATTAAGAATCTCGACCGGCAGCTTTGAACCGTTTTCAAGTGGGATGTCTGATTGATTGGTGGTACCTTGTGTTATCTTCTCGTTCATGGTGATGATAATCGAATGGAAGAATTACTAGGATCTGAGTTGGAAAATGAGACTATATAGAGGTCGAAATGGCTGAGTGGAGTCATATTTCCTCAGCACAAGTCCTAAGCTGAAAATGTTGATCCACTCAAAATCCATGTCGGGCTGGTAGACGCGTTGAGTCTCCATACGATGATAACTAATTTGTTGAGCTTAGGCCAATGCCTCAGCATCTCTCTCCGCTCGGGCTCAACAATAGGATCGCCAGAGAAACTGGAAGACATCCAGGTGGCAGGGACTATAGTCAAGTTCTCAACTGCAAGCACTTTGTTAAGTTAAGACACGATGTCAAAATCCATGTAGCAGTCACCTTTCGATTTATGGCCTTGGAATATCTAAAAAGAAATGATCGTACACTCGTTTTCAAAAAGCTTATCACAAATTCACTGCCAAATTGCTTAAGCTCAACTACGCCCCTCACGACTTTGAGTTTTATAGAAAAACAAACTCAAAAAACCACATAACTCAATACACACTGACACCTTGATGAGGATACATAAAGCAAACAGTTCCTTTAAGCCAGATCAAGTGAGCTAAAAATGAAATATCGATTATAAAATTCAAAACTGTTCAATTTTTTTCTTTGTATTAACCAAATTGCAAAAAAGAGACAAAATTAAAACACCAAAAACAATTTACCAACTTCAATTACTTTTCACCCTTTTCAATCCCTTAAACCAACAAAACAAAACAAAAACAAAAGAGAAGAAAACATTTCCAAAAAAAAAATCGTCAAAATGAAAAAATAATCAATTAAATCAATCAATTCAAACCCCTAAGTTTTAGTTTCCACTAAAAGATCAAAACTATTAGTACCACAACGAGGAGCCTGACCCATGACAATACTAGCAGAAGGTGACATTAAATCATCAAAATCACCAAAGATTGTAGCATCTGTTAAGAAAGTAGTAGTGGTTTCATATGAAGCTTTAAGGAAAGGTGACACATGATTTGCTAAACCTGGTCGATTAAATGCTTTATAACCTCCTTCTGATGTCTAACAATTCAAAAAAAAAGAGAAAAAAAAGTTCATTTCATCAGTTAATCCAATCAAGAAGTCCAAAAAACTGATTCTGCTTTCTTGTGGGTGGTAACAAAAAGCTTACCATATAATCTGCAATCACAGTTAAATGTCTATAATCAACCCCGATTCCATAAACTCCAAAAACACCACTCATTTCTCTAATAATAGCAGCTCTAGCAGCTTCAACCCCATAAGTCCTCAAGATCGCTGAAATATCATTAGAATATAGTTGATTCATCTCAATGATTTCATAACCAAAACTCCAAGCTGCTTTTAGATTGGCTCCTTCGGTGACACAATATTGACTTTTATCTTGATGTGGTTTATCTGATTGAGCCGATAACGCTCTACCGATTCCGGGTATTTCTTGAATTACTGCTGATTGACAACATTTCTCTATGATACCTATTAAAAGTAATTTATGTGAAGTTGATGAAAACTACGAAAAAAAAAAAATCAGATATACAAATCGTTAGTTTTCTTCACTTCTTTAAATATACATGTGTAAATATCATTATGACTTACATTCATAGTAAATTCACAACTATTACCCTTCTCTTCATCAAATTCAATCGTAGTAACATAAGACGAATCACTTTCAACTTCTTCTTTTAATTTCAAAAACACATTAGCTCTTCTCTCTTTGATTTCTTGTTCTTTTTCTTCATCTGAATCTGCCATACTATCAGTTTCATCATCACTTTCTCCATCTTCTAAATCTGTAATCTCTCTTAATCTTTTATCATTCAATCCTCCTACTCCATTCTCACTACCATCTGATGAATCTTGATCATAATCTACTTCATGTTTTTGTCTAGCTCGTCTTTGATCATCTGCATCTCCATCTTCGATATCTGCTTCATCTACTCTTCTAACCGGAACATCTTCATTCACATCTTCTCCATCTCCATCTTCACCCGTCGTACCAGTTCGAGCAGCAATACTCTTTCCTTTTCCAATCGTTGCAAATTGATTCTTGATATCCAAAGCTCGTGTCTTGAATTCAGCCTTGATTCGACGTTCTAACAAAGGAATAAAAGCCCTTACAACAGACTTGAAGACAGCCTCTACTGTAATACTATATTCAGCACAATATTCATCAGATGGATAAAATTGTAATTTGACAGTATAAGATTTAAATCGTTCTCCATTTTGAGTTTTACTAGTTAAAGTTTCCTTTACGATCACTTCATCAACGACTTGTGATAAAGTCACTCTAGTAGTCCTTTTCAAAAACTTTGCAAATTCTTCTGCCGTCACTTCAGCTTTAATCGGAAACTTCATCGTGGGTGTTTTAATCTTAGTCGAAGCTGTCATCACAATCTCTCGAAGTCTAGGAATCCCAAGTGTCACATTCGCAGCACCATGTCCAGCAAAATGAAATGTATTTAATGTCATTTGAGTCGATGGTTCACCAACACCTTGTGAAGCTAATAAACCAACGGCTTCACCTGGATCTACAATCCCTTTCATAAATCTGATTTGCATTAAAGATCTAAAGAAATCAGTTGGAATCAATTCATTCGAATTCACATATGCTGGCCAATCTGCTCGATACTTCTTCTTCACTCTTAATAATCTCTTAGGGTTTTCTACTTTATATTTGTTAACAGCTTCAGTGAATTTTTCAGATGTACTACCGAAATAAAGTGTTGGACTATAAATCGACATCGTAGGTAATGGTAATGATTGATTTGTTCCTGATTTCTTAGCTTTTATAATACTATCTGCATGATTGGTTGCTGTTTCTCCATCTAATCTACCCAAGATTTCAGTTGGTTGATATCTTTCAATAAGTGAAGCTCGATTCAAAAGTGAAAATTCGAATTGATAAAGATGTTTTTGTTTAGTCACATCAAGTGAATCATCACCATAATGGAATTGAATCACCGAAGAATCACTATTCCGAACCGTATGATCATAATGAACTCGGATGCCTTCTAAATGTTTAATCAAACATCTTTGAAGATAACCAGATCGACTAGTCTTCACAGCTGTATCAATCAAACCTTCACGTCCAGCCATACAATGGAAATAATATTCTTGTGGTCGGATTCCAGTGAGAAAGCGTTGAGCGACAAATCCACCAGCACGTGGTGCCGTTTCGAATGCTTTGAACGAAGGTAACGTTTTCCCACTAACCATCACAGGTACTCGACGACCTTCTAAAGCTTGTTGACCGAGCAAGCATGAGATTTGAGATGCATTCACTGTCGTTCCTTTCGCTCCTGAACCTGTCATCATCTGCATGTTATTCCATGGAAACGGTTTATAAAGTCCAGCAGGTAAACATTGATTATCGATCTTAGTTTTCAATTCTGAAGTTTCAACATTATAAGAGTTATCTAAAGCTGCCATCTTCATATCATCCCGAAGCACTTCTTCTAATCTAGCTTGAAGATCTTTCTTGCCTTGAGGTGTACTGACTTCTTCTTCTGAAAGACCTACCATTGAAAGAGTAGCTCGTCTACCTCTTACAGACGTTTCATTAAGTAATCTCGATCGGATAGCATTACCATGACCCGTTAAGAAAAGATCATCCATCCGACAAGTAAAAGCTCGATGTTGTAAATATTTAGTAAACAATCTACTAAAGATACTTAAAAGTCTACCAGCCACTTCAGCACCATATAAATCATGAACAGAATGAACTAATCCATAAGGAGATGCACCGATTTGTGATTTATCAATCACACCTGAGATCATATAACCTGCATCAAACTGTACTGTATCTTCAGAACTATGAATTCCCCAATTTTTACCTGAAACCTTGGCACTAGACGTTAAATAAAGACCAGCAGCATTGGTAGGTGTGATATTCTTTAAGATTGTTGAAATGATTTGTTTACCTGTCCAAAGTGGACGTGGTTTCCATATAGCAGGTGATACTGTTAAGACTTGACCACCTCCAGTATACTCATTCTCAGGTCGTAAAGCTCCATAAATAATTTGATAATAATCTTCTCGACTAAAGAACGTATCTTTGTTGGTCATCCAAACACCCGAAACTACGTGATCTTGAATCAATCCACGAAGTGGATTTCCAGAAGTCGGTACAAGATATTGATTATCGTTATTTGCAATCGTTCGAGCTTCACTTTGAGCAATTAGATTTTGTGGAAAATGCATATTCATTTCTAGAAAAAAAAGGATCAATTACATAAAATCGTCAATAAATAAAGGTTTGAATCAAAACAAGAAGAAAAAACAAACAAACAGTACGTACCATCACCATCAAAATCTGCATTATAAGAATTACAATTTGCATAATGCATTCGAATAGTTTTTTCACCTTTTAAGATTCTTGCACGATGACACATCATACTAGGTTTATGTAAAGTAGGTTGACGATTCAAAATCAAAATATCCCCATCATCTAAATGCCGATGAACTCTTTTACCAATCATAGGAGTTCGAGTCGGAGGTAATCCAATATCAGGTCTTGGATTCTTATTTGATCGATCTGCATTACTTGAGGTTTGTAATAAAGTATTGGCTAATGCTTTTCGACTTTCTCCATCCATTCGATCTAATGCCACCATCGTACCATCATCATCTTCAACAAATACCGCCCCTGGATGAACATGTGGCCCATTACAAACCAACTTATGCATCTTGTCAAAGTTATGGGCTGTTACGAATTCAGGAAACGTTAGTTTCTTAGCAAACACAGGTGGAACACCAATCTCATTGGTCTCAATGTTAATATCAGGTGAAATAACAGATCGTGCGGCATAGTTAACTCGTTTTCCCTATGGTCATTCAAATCGGATTCGTAAGATTACGAGATATAAGATGATAAGATTAAAGAAATCAAAAAAGATACATGACTAACCATCATATTCATCCTAAACAATCCTTCTTTCTTCTCCAAGATTTGTTTAACACCTTGAGGAGGTAATTTTCCTTTAGCCATCACCGTTGGATTTCGATTACTATCCAGTAAACTATTAACAGCGATTTGCATTCCGATACAACCTTCTAAGATTTGACTATAAAGTTTTTTTTGTTGTTCTTTTTGAACGATCAATAAAGCTTGTGCAAGTGCACCGTTGGGTGGTTTTTCACTTACAGCTGCTAATTTTTCATTCAAATCTCGTATCTTGACTGTTTGCATTAAAATCGCTCCTAAAAGTAAATTTTGAGGTGCTTCTAAAGTTTGACCTCCCATCACAGCAGCAGGACGAAACTTGGTAGGAGGCACAGCGATCACATCAAGAAAGAACATATCTGCAGTTGCTGAACTATTGGATTGATTTTCCTTTTGCATAGCTGGTCCATGTGTATCGTAAAGAAGATCACAGATTTCAGATTCGTTTTGAAACAATAACCTTAGATGAGCTCTGGCTTCTTCTGCCAAGATCATTCGTTCGACTTGTTTTTTCTTCGTACCTGACGCCGTATCGTTGGGGGTATCGAGATCCATAGCTCCTTCGTCTTCACCTTCATCTGAATCATCGATAGCTGGTCTACTTCGCTCTGTTCGAACAGATCTAAGAGATCTAAGATTACTAGCATTGGCCCATGCTGAACCACCACTACTAGCATCACTATCTTCATCATCATCACTATTATCATCAGATGAATTATTTGAAGAGATTCGAGGTCGTTTATGAGGATTGGAATGAGATTCCTTAGGATCTTGAACCTGATTTGAGTTTCTTCTAGCTAAAGCTAAGACGTCAGGACGATGTAATTCCATAGCTCTATGAATATCAGCTTGTTTAGAAGCCAATGAGAATTCCATGATTTTAGTATGACCATCTTTCCGCATTCTACAAGCATAAGCTCGACATCTTTCACACCTTTTCTTGGGTAAAAGTTTAATTAATTCAGATATGATTTTCTTTCTTTTATCAAAACACATTCCAATCTTATAATTATCTTTTGATGTTTTTGATTCTTTTCTAATTTGTTTTTCAATACATTCTTCTACAAACTTTTTCAAGGTAGCTTTATAATATGGTAAATCGAATTCTTTATCTTCTTCTTCTTCTTCTTGTGATAATCCTTCTTCTGTTTCATCTATTCCTCTTTTACCTGCTTTAACATTTGAAAGTTTAATAGTTGGAAAATCATCTACTGCATCTGATTCTAAAAGAAGTCCATGATTCAAAAGTTTAAGTTTTGCAGCATAACGAACAATCTGAATTGAATAATTTAACAAAAAAACAAAAACAAACATCAAGTCAGTCTTTAAAATCAACTTCTCGGTTTCCATCAAACACACTTAAATCAATTTTCACTTACGATGATTTCAGAAGCCAAGAAATGATGACAATGAAAACAAGTACCACGTAAAAGATGAAAAGCATGAGTCATAAACAATGGATGAAAGACGGGCACATTAAGTTCGATATGACCAAAATGACCAGGACATTGAGTATTAGATAATCTACAAGTACGACAAATGTCTCGAGTTTGAAATGGACCTAATCTAGGATCATAAAGTCCTGATTGAGTTGGAGCTCCAGTGTTGTCTAGTAAAGATGGATTTGTGATTTGAAGTACTGAGATGGATCGGATGTCTGAACTTAAGAGTGGAGCAAATGAAGCTGAAGTGATTTTACTGAGGTATGGTTGAGCTATATCCATGGTTTTGATTGAAACAATAGATCTGCTTCACAATATGCTAGAGATATTATCTTGATGGATTAGTTTCAGATTTGTTGGGTATCCTTTGAGCTGTTCTTCATTCAAGTAAGAGTGATATAAACCTAAAGATTGATGCTGTTCTTGAGAGTTGAATGAGTTTTTCTTGAGAAAGAAGCTGGAGTGAAGCTGCTGATATTTTTGGTCGTCACACCCAATTTTTGAGATCCCACTTCAAAAAAAATTTAACTCGTGACTTTCGATCGACCTGTAACAAAGCTGTATTGCACAGTCGACTGCGGGGAGCCATGTCATGAGAAGTGATAGATCTGTGAAATTGATATGCTGGAGAACATTCAAGTTTTTGTTGAGTTGATGTTTGATTGAAAGTTGAAGATTAGTTGAATGACGATACCAAACCAAAGAATACCACTAAGAAGCCTAACAAACTCATTCAAATCAAATCAAATCAAACCATACAAACTAACACCAAACTTCATCATCTCAAGAAACATCACAACTCAACCCGACAAAAACAAAAACAAATTTAAATCCATCATGTCCGATCCATCAAATCAAATCAACACACAACTAGAAGAATTATCATTAAAAGTTAAATCTCAAGGAGAACTGATCAGAACACTAAAATCGAAACCAACCACCGAAAAAAACCCAACAGAGATATCAGAACAAGTCGAGATTTTAAAACAATACAAAACAACCTTAGAAGACTTTAAAAAATCAAATGGATTAGACCTCACAACAACAACAAACCAAAACCCATCAAAACCAACCACCAAATCGAAATCAAAGTCAAAAACTGCTGAACCAAAATTTCAATTAAAAGTACCAAAAGGAACCAAAGATCATCATCCAAAAGACATGATCTTACGAGAAAAGATTTTTCAAACAATTACCAAAGTATTCAAATTACACGGTGCAATCACAATTGATACACCTGTTTTTGAATTAAAAGAAATCTTATCTGGTAAATATGGTGAAGATTCTAAATTGATTTATGATTTACAAGATCAAGGTGGTGAATTATGTTCATTAAGATATGATCTTACTGTAAGTTTTTCTTTAACCAAAAAAATAATCCATAATCCTTTTCTTACGAAATCTCGATTGATTTTTGATTTCTTTTTGGGTTAAAATAGGTTCCATTTGCTAGATTTTTGGCTATGAATGCTAAAGAATTCAATACGATCAAACGGTATCATATTGCAAAAGTTTACAGAAGAGATCAACCTGCAATGACCAAAGGAAGAATGAGAGAATTTTATCAATGTGTAAGGATTTTCAAATCAATCTCTTATTGGATTGTAAGTGTTTATAATCAACTAATATGATTTTGATGTAAATTTTAGGATTTCGATTTTGCTGGTACAACAGATCCAATGGTAGCAGATGCAGAAGTTTTAACGATTGCTTGTGAAGTTTTACAAGAATTAGAAGTAGGAGAGTTTACAATCAAGGTATATTTCCTTCTTAACTAGATTAAACTCTGGCCTTCATCTCATCCTCTGATCCAGCTTTTTCTTTTCTTTTCTGAGATTTTAGGTTAATCATAGGAAAATCTTAGATGGAATCTTTTCACTTTGTGGTGTTCCTGATGATAAATTTCGTTCGATTTCATCTGCAGTTGATAAACTTGACAAGGTACGTCGAACTGAACAGACCAAGATAATCATAAGACATATAATCCGAATTAACTCAAGTGTCGTTTGGTGTTTCTACATCTTTATTTTTGAGGTAGATGTCATGGTTAGATGTCAAAAAAGAAATGACAGAAGAAAAAGGTTTAGACCCAGTAATTGCCGATCAGATAGGAGAATACGTCAAACTCAAAGGTACATCTCTCTCTCTTTTTCCTTCCAAAATCAGTTTGATCATTCAGAAACTGAACGAAAATTTCGTATTATTTAAATTAGGATCTGAGGAATTATTACAAAAGTTATCAGAAGATTCGAAATTTATGAATAATAAATCAGCAAAAGAAGGATTAAATGAAATGATTCTTTTATTCAAGTACATTAATGTATTCGGTATCACACCCAAGGTTTGTTCAATTTTTTTTTCGAAAAAAGATTTATGCTGAAAAATATCACACAAGGCGAAAAACTTATATGATCAAATCTTTTTGTTTCTTTCTGGATTTCAAGATTTCTTTTGATTTAAGTTTAGCTAGAGGACTTGATTATTATACAGGAGTGATTTACGAAGCAGTAGTAGAAGGATCAGCTCCACCTGTACCATTACCTGCTCAAGTTCAATCAGATCCATCGAATCAATCCAACTCCAAATCGATTTCCAAAAAACCATCAGAAGAAGAAGAAATTGATGAAACCACTATTGGAGTAGGATCGATTGCAGCAGGAGGTAGATATGATAATTTAGTTGGAATGTTTTCATCGGGTAAAGATCAAATTCCGTGTGTTGGAATCTCATTTGGAGTAGAAAGGATCTTTACGATTTTAAAATCAAAACAAGAAAACGAATTAAAGAGTAAAGAAGTAGATGTTTTTGTTATGAGTGTTGGTGATGGATTGTTATTAGAAAGAATGAAGGTTTGTAAAGAATTATGGGATGTTGGAATTAGTGTAAGTTTCACATCAATTAAATTAAAGTGTGTTTTTTTTTTGTTTGAAAAAACTGATGAGATTTTTTTGTTTTGAAAAAAAAAGGCTGAATTTATGTATAAAGTTAAACCAAAACCATCTAAACAATTTGAAACGGTAGAAAAAGATTTCATAAGGTTTGCCATCATCTTAGGACCTGACGAAATTAAATTAAATCAATTAAGGATTAAAGAACAATTAGGTAAAGATCAAAATATCGAATCTAAAGATAAAGATGGAATTTTGATCAATCGAAATGAAATGATTAATTGGTTATTAGAAAGATTAAAAAAATAAATCAATTTAATTAGAAAAAATTAGAGATTGTAAAGGAATTGAAATTGAAAATTATTGGAAAATCGGTTTCTGAAAATTATCTTGTCACAAAAAAATAAAGCATGAGAGGGACTGAAGAAATTCAAAAAGTGGTAAAGAGATATATTGATTTTGATCAAATAGAGATGAGATGATCAAAAAAGTCATAAAGAACTTAAAATAATCACATGTAAGACTTCATCTAATTTGAACTTATTGTTACATGTCAGCTTCAAGTGCTCTTGAGCTCAACCAAGATTGATTTTTGATTGATTTTAGTAATGTTTCCCACAATCCATTTGTTGTTGTTCATATGAGAAAACTGTGTACAACATGCTGATAGAGAGCCTTAAGTTGAGAGAAGAGCTCCAGAACTCCTACCACCAAGCATGTATCATAAGGCTTGTCCCAATCCACTTCTACTGGTCTGGGCACGAGACTTGGTTGGGGGCCGTTGAGTAACCAAACCATGGCTATGGTCTTCCTAAGAACCCTCTTTATGATCAAGTTATCAAGTTTCAACATTGCTCAATTTGACTATGTAATGGTACAGACTTCTAGAAATAACCTTACACTATTGTCAACACCGACAATTGAACAAAGTCGATACAGGCATGTTTTTACTAAAAAAATGGTGTTTGCATTTCTCAATGTAAGGTACTAATGATACAAAAATAACGCATGATAACTTCAAATGAGAAAAGATAGGCTAAAAAAATACTGGTAAAAGAGAGAATAAGTTTTAAATGAAACAACAAAGATCAAAACAAGGAACGTGTGTTTAAGAAATGATGATGACAATACAAAAAATCTTTGAGAATCAACGGTTTGATGAAAAAATAATAAGTTCTTGTTTCTTCTTTTATACTTCAACTTGAAGATCATCAGATGAAGCATCAGAATCAGTCACAATTTCGTAATCTTCATCGTTGTGATCAATCGGGTTTGAAAAGGATTGCCCTGACCATCCACTTTCAAAATCAGTATCAGAAACAGCAGATGATCGTGATTCTAAAGTTTGATCAGATACATCTTGAGCTGGATTGTTTTGGAGTTGATGCAATGATGATTCAAGTGATTCGACTCTAGGTCGAATCTCATCATTTGAAAACTCTTGATGAATAGATCCTGAGACCAATGAACCATTAGCTGTAAAGTGTGGTAAGTGGAAACTGGCGGATGCCGATAATGAGGAATGTGCGGAATCAGCAGTAAGTTGATCTCCCATTAACACGTTCAAACGTAACCAAAGTCGATCTCCGAATTTGCTTCCAGTGGGATCCATCAACCGCCAAAATTGAGCATAGTCCCCAGATTCCTCAGGAGCCGTCGTGTCAATTGATACTTCGACTACCTCGTTCGGTAAGGCGCTTGGGACGGGAAATGCTGATACATGTCCGTTGACAAATCCGCCGGTGAAGACTATCTGAGTCCCCTCGGGCCACGCGATCGAACCGCTGTTGTGGACCAACCAAATTTTGGTGAAGCGAGAGCCAGCAGAAACCGTCGTACCGTCCGAAAGGTTCACATCCGACACATAACGTGCCATTAATTCCTGATCAGCTAAAAATCGGTCAGATTGTGTATCGTCGGGTGAAGCGGTAGGGGCCATAGTGAGTGCCTCTGTAGGTTGATCTGATGCAGAATCGTGGCTTGAGGAAGTATCGGAATTGTTCGAAACCTCTTCCGCACGTATGGCTACCGCATAGTCAGAACGCTCGATGGGCTCAAGCTGCGATATTCCAGCTTTCTCTGTTGAGACGATCGGTGTTGTAAGTGTACTTTTCGGCTCCTCGACCACGGCATACCCGGTACAAATGACAGGAGCATCCTCGTATTCGGCGACTCCGCTAGAAGCGAACGGAGCCTCTTCACAGATGGCGATTCCACTTGAAGCGAACGGAGCATCCTCGCATATAGCAATTCCACTAGAAGCAAACGGAGTCTCCTCGTAGGTAGCAATTCCAGTATGAGGGAAAGGAACCTCTTGGGCCACAGCATGACCAGTGCGAGCAAAAGAAGTCTCGGACGAGGTATTTGGAGCTAAACGAGAATTGAGTTTCCAAGTTCGAGAATCTCGGATCTTGAGTAAGACATGATCGGGATCGTGTTTTGGAATAGGATGCGATTCACAAGCGCTGCACAAGTCGTAATCGTCACAAGAAGGATGTGTGCATTTGTACCTTATGCCGATGACTGGCTCGTCACAACCATCGCACATCACACCACGATGACGAACGTGATGATGTGGGAGCAACGTAATGACTTCGGGCTTAGAAATTGCTAATAGTTGATGGAAAGGGTGATGGGCCTGTACGCCTTGCACGCAAGCATCACACTAAGACATTGAAGGAAAAACGTTGAAAGAAAAACAGGATGGTCAGTTGAAGTGGTGAAATAAGAAACTGCGATTGCAACTCACGCAATCCCAATCGATACATTCTAAACATTTGTGGCGAACTCCAAATATCATTTTGTCGCACAAATCACACTTGGACGGGTGTTTGATCATGGCCTGCACAGCGGTCTTATCGTCCTTCTTTTGCTTGATAGACGTATCATCAAAACTTTGATCCGGGCCAATGATGGTTGTATCGCCTTGTGGCTTCGATGCAGACATATTGATGATAGTGAAGACGTGGTCGGGCGGATGAATTTGGTCGCGCGAAGGGTAACAGTCGGTACACTACAACGTCAAGGTACTCAGTAATTCAGTCTGATCGATATTTGATACAGTTCAGACTCACTAAATCAAAGTCCGGGCACTCAGAGTGGGTACATTTAGCTCTAACGTCGTCAATAGTTTTTGCACATTGGTCACACTGAATAATGAGTGTGGCTGGTGCCAGTCGGGCTGAGACAACGATCGGATTTATGTCACTCAGGAAGGATGGCATGGCACGAGTCTTGTTCTTGTGGGCATAATCCATGGGAGACGCGTAGAATACAAATTGGTGCATGGCTGCGTGGAAATCAGATCGGGTAGGATAACACTTGGGACACTAAATGACCAGAAGATGGGTTAGACGATGGTGTGTCAGGTGCTGATTGAACTGGACTTACGAGGTCAAAATCTGGACAAGCAGATGCAGTGCATTTTGCTCTTACACCTCTGATCGTCAAACCACATCGGTCACATCGAACGCCAGAATGCACAGCGAGATGGCCCAAGGATCGAGGGCCGAGTAGGGTGTCAGTCGTAGGAAGTGATGAAACCTTCGCGGGTTGTATGTTTGGCTTGCCAAGCTTTTCAAACGTAGAGGTTCTCAATTGAGCAATCGAGTCGGGCGTAGCGGCAGCACAGCGCATCTCGAGATAATCAGCAGTTACCTCCTGGAACTGTTCGAAGCATTTCAAACTGGGAAGATCAAGCTCCCAAGCGTTGGCCAAGTAGTTGCGGGGTAGAACATGGTCAATCGACGGAATAGACTGGGATGGTGGACTGATGAGGCGAGTTGTAGTATCAAGGGTATAGAACCGAACGCCATTGGGAGATAAACTAATCCCATGTAACCTTGAAAGGGTACAAGCAGTCCATGCAGATTGAAAGAATTGGCGCATAGCGAGATCAACACCATAACGTTCTTGTGCCGTATCCACGTGGGGCGAAAATTGCACTAAGAAGACTGGATTGTTCTTAGGATCCTTGGCAATGAAACGTAGAGTAGGATCTGCTGAAAGACCGGGCAGGTTGGATGCAGATGTTGGAACAGGATGAACTTCACATCCAAGGGGGCCAAAAACAGAGTAAAGGACTCGGTTGATGTTTCCAATTGTAACAACTTGAGCTTGTGAATGATCGAGTGGAAGGATCGCAGTGCGATGGAACAAACCATCAGACCATGCCTTATGTTGTAGCACGTTTGCTATCAAGGATGGAGCGTTCTCGGTGACAGATGATTCCAAGTCAAGAGCACCAGGCATGGGGTGTACGATGGGGTTAGCTGGAGATGAGCCTTGGTTGGAAAACCCAGCTGATGATTGATATACCATACGATCGGTTGATGCTTTCATGAGTTGCGAAATGATCTGAGCCTCTCCGCCGGTCAAGCCTTCTGTCATCATCCTGATGTCCACGAGAAGTGATTTGAGTGTGCATACACCATCTTGGGTACTAAGATCACATTGCCACGAGTCGGCGAGATGGTCTCGCGGCAAGACGTGATCGTGATCAAGAACTTCACTACGTTTGGGGAAAATCGTGCCGTTGATTGGTTCCAGCATGTAAAAGCGTATCTTGCTACCACAGATACTCAACCCGTGTAAGATGGAGGTGTCCACGTGAGATGCTAATTCAGAGAATCTATTCCGGATGCGTTCGTCAATCTGTTTACGATTCACTGCCTCAGAAGCGGTTGTAGATGGATAACATTGTATGATGAGGATTGGCTTCATGCTGAGATTCTCTGTGAGGTGATGAACTTCAATGATGGCGCCATCGGAGCGAGCCTGTGCACAAACCGCGTATGCTGGGTTATCGTGAAACGCTTGGGAGATCATCAGATAATACAAGCCAGCAAGTCTGTTGTCCGTATCGCCGCCCATGTGTGAAAGACTAGACTGGACGCTAGGTAAGTAGGGATAACTAGCCATGGAGGCAAAACTGCCTTTGAGTATACCTCGCCTGTAGCTGATGCCAGTATCGGGTGAAATCTTGCTAGAATTCGGAAGCTCAGAAGGGTCAACAGTTTGGTTGGGACTTGGAAGCGCAAAAGGGTCGACAGTCTGGCTAAAAGTTGGTAACGCAAACTGGTCGACAGTCTCGCTGAGACTTGGTGCCGGAACAGGATCAACATGATATTTTGCAGAAGGCACTGGATGAGGTGTTTGGTAACCTCTGTGAGAACCAGCCATTTGGTTGCGAGCCAGTTTCCTACCCGCGCCTTCACCGAGTTTGCGAACCATTTCACGGCGTTGGTCTCGATATAAAGCAGAAGATCGGTGCATACGCTCAGCACAATTCTTGATAGAAGCCAGCCCTGAGTTGCGAATTGAGGGGTCGTTGAGAGGTTGCAAATCTGCCGAACGTAAGGAAGCTGAGGTGAGATGAACCGAAGGATCGCGTCGTAATCTACAGCGCTTGGAAAGAGGGAAACGACTCTTCTGATAGGATTCTGAATGCATACTGCGACCGGCAAGTGATGAGGGGATTGAGTAAGGAGTAGTAGAGTTATCAAGAGCTTGGTTTTTGGAGACAGAAGTGGACTCCTTGAGCCTTGCTAAGAAATTCAAGACTGTTCGACCACGTTCGTCGACTTGAAAAGGATTTGATTCGATAAAAAGGGATTCGATATACTCTTCAAATTCAGTAGCTGATGAGAGTAAGACTGGTGAGTCACAAGTAGGTAACTTGATAGCTAGTTCAAAAGAATCGGCTGGTAATTTGAAAGCGTATTCTATGCGACTGTTTAGACCCTAAACGAAATCAATTGGATTCAGGAACATGAATGAATGAATAGAAGGGAGTGAGGAAAGGCAGTGTAGATAGGTAGAACATACTTTGTAGACTTCTGAGGAAGAAACAAGGCCAGTGTAGCCGTACCTACGACTCTTAATGACCAGTGGTTGTGGATCTTTAGAATCTGATGAAGAAACTAGTGTGAGCCTGAAGACAAAGTGAGTGGGTAACATTCTTAAAGTACGATCCAGTGAGAATAAAGCAAGGATAGAGATGGATGGATGGTCAACCAGGCAAGAGAGTTAATTGACTGAACTGGTAAACAGAACAAAGTGAAGGTAAAGAACGATAAGCCACGCCTCTCCTAATCGGACGAAAATGACCTCATCATCCAATACAGGTTCAAATTCAGGGAAAACACAGCATGAGCCCCGCCGAGCCCCGAAGCTATCCAGAGTCACAAATGTTCCTGTTCCCTGGTTGTAAGTTGTGATATATCATATGGCTGGTTATAATCTCATGATCAATTGACTGTAGTCACTTCTCTTGCTATGGTGACCTGACCTGACCTGTCTCCAATTTTCATGATAGATCAAGTGCACATCCCCACATACAGTTGGCTCCTTCTAAGATCATAGTGGTATAGAGGCTTAAACCTCCAACTGAAGATCTCTCTGCCACAGATTGTGATCACAGGCCTATACCCCAATTTTATTCCTTGAGCTATGAAGTCCTTGGTAAAACTTGAGATTTCCTAGAAATGTTTTTCATCTCAAGGAGACATATGAGGTGAAGATATGTGGTGGAGAGTTGCCCATGGGAACCTTATCTGAAAATCTAATGTAACCACTTGAAGAAAGGTAGACCACTGTGACCAATGCTTCAAAGTCACTTATGTACCATATGTAGGACCTTGAAAACGAGGCTCTCAACATTGATAAAGCCCTGTTTTAGCTTACCAAATCAATAAATGATGGAGAATACATTAAAACATCCTATACAGCAATTTGAACACATCAGCAAGATAAGTGTATAACCTATCCCTTGAAAAAGCCTGTCTCTGAACAGTGAGTAGAAATACATCCTCAAGGGGAGGGAGCAGACCCAACATGAATACCAGAAAAATAAATCAAAAGGAAAATAACAAGAGTCAGGTATTTTTCTGATATAAAATATTTGAATTCACTTTAATTCCTCAATCTCATTCCTTGCTAACACTACCTATTATTCCTCAGAGAATCATATACCAAGCATTCCAACCCAAGAACAAAAAAGCTATACAACCCCATCATAATCAACATAAAATTTGTAGATTAGCCTTGAAGTTTTTTATCTTTCACCCCATCAGTTTCAATTTCAAACATGCAGAATAAATGTGTTGATGGATATAGATATCTTCCAGACTCTTCCAGTATGTTTTTGGCATAGAGCTGTTCTATTCATGAAATCCCGATTTGTACTGGAATTTTCAAAACTGAAAGGAGATTGGAAGTCACATCAAAACACCTCAAATTCAAAACAAAGATTCAGATCAATGTTTTTGCCCATTGAAATGATGAAACCTCAGGTGGTGGGAGCTTGACTTTCAAGTCCAAACCATTCATATGAGTTATCTGAGAGTAATTTAAGGTATAACTCCAAGCTTCAAAAATCCTCTTGAGACCATGAATTGGGATGGGGTACTTGCAGGTGTCTTGGTCATATGAAAGTGATTTAAATAGCTTGATGGAGTTTGACCAATCCATAGTGACTTCAAGTGGGGTTTTCACTTCCAGGTTGAAAATCTTTGGCAAGTCTTTTTCAAAGTCAAATTGTTTCCACTTGGAAAATATCACTTTTAAAAAACTCCATGCACTCTTGACAAGTATTCTGAGTGTATTCTCCTGGACCTCTCTTTGGTACATAGCTTTGACCAGGCCTATGAAGATCACAGTTAGTCTGTACTCTCCCATACTGATTACCCTGATAATTGTTTCAATATTTTTCTTATGAGGATCATAATATAACAAGTCAACTGATTTTTCCTTGGGTCTTGGTCTGGCTAAAGAGATATCAAGATTGTATACTTGCTTGTAGGAGCTCAACATATCTTTAACTAATGAACCAAAGAAAGCATGGACCTCTTGACATATTTCAATTCCCATAGGTGAGTGAAATTGTGCAGATTGAGATAATGACAAACATATTTCATGCCATTTTGAAAATACTATGTATTTATGGACTGGAGAGCCTCTAGAGTATATCAATCCTGAAAATGCAATGTTTTTGATTTGTGATCTTGAGTAAAACCCACCATGGCTATAATTTACATGTGAATCATGGAATTCTTGAATGATTGGATAGTACTTGATTATATTGGATACCCCAATTCTTGTGATGCTTCTGTTTTGATCCCATTTAATCACAAGAGAGTTAATGATGTCAGCTGGGATATTGCTCCGATTGTTATAATTGCTTAATGACCTATACCATGATACAGGGTCATAGCGTCCTGTTTTGGTGTATGAATGCTTCTTCACTTTGAGATGGCAACTCTGGGTTTTCAGATTTGCATCCCTCCAACTCCCAAATTGTAATTTGATGAAACTCCATGCCTCCTGTAGAAGATTATTCAAATACAATTGATCACCTCCTTTCTTAGAGAATATCACAATCAAGGCTAAAAAGCATGCTGTGATCTTTGAGTGGGCAATCTGTATTGCTTGTTCAACCGGCTTGATTATAGAGGTCTCCTGGCCACATCTTGAAATCATATCTTGCTGTAGTCCATTGAACCATGAAGTTGTTTCATAACACAAACTTGGAGAATTGTTCATATAAAATACACCTATGTTGCGTAGCAATGGGAGTGCTTCTCTTGATGAGAGCTTTGAAGGTGCATTTATTCTTGGCTTCTTTATGACAGGGGGGCTAATCAGATCACTTGAAGGACTTTTAGAAGGATGATCCTTGATTCCTATATCCTCTTCCTCAAGTGCTGGGAAACCCTGCATCACATAGTCATTGAATGTTGTGGGAGTGCCCATTCCAAGAAACATAGTGTCTCCTGAATTGTCCATAACTGAGGCCAATACTCTTTCCGTTGAAGAACTTGGGAAATTACTGTCAGCCACATGGGGGGAATACAATGGCAATCCTTCATTCAGGAACCTATCATCTGCTAGTCCATAATCTTCCTTGCTTGATTCTTTCAAATTCTGCATAGGTCCTTCAGCCAATCTAGATGATATCATCCCAAAGTTTTCAATTGGCTTGTGGTTTCCTGCTTTCCATTCCTCTGAGAGATGGAAAGTGTTCACCATTTTTGAAGGGTGGTCATTTGAATTACTGACTGTGCATGATGCAAATGGAACACCATTTGAATGAGTATAAGGAACATTCTCATCATTCTTCAAGTCAAAAAACTCCTGATCTCCCAAAACTTTCTTTCTCTTTTTGTCATGTGTAGTATGACATGTCTCCTTGCACCTTCCATGAGACTGTGAGATTTCTTGCACTATATTGCCATAGTGATTCATGTTTGAGGATGGGACGTTATGTACCACATCATGGCTTTCATGAAAGGTATGTTTCATGGCTTTGAGCAGGCTGGGTCCCCCAGGTGTTGATGAATGAGATTGTGATGATGTTCCAAGAGAATCAGGAGTATCACTCCATTTATCAAGTTCATGATATAATTTTTGTTCTTTGGGTGCCAGATAGGCTTCAGTTCCATAATTGAAAGGAGAGGAACTATAAGTTGGATCTTGTGGATTGATTTCATTTCTAAAACCCAATCCCAAGTTTTGGGGACTTGAAATTGGTACTTCTGTGTGTAAATAACTCCCATGTTCCAATGGTAAGGGCACACATTGATACTTGGTTGATGGGCTTGCTGTTTCCATCCTTGATATTGCAAAGCAAGGGCTTTCTTTTGAACTAAATTGTGAATCCCAATGGCCTATAGCACCCTGAGACAATTGATGGGTGCACTCATTCTGACTGCCATCATGAAATCCAGATAAGTCTTGAATTTCTGGTAAAACAAGATGTTGTAAATTTTCTTCTTCAGGAATGCTATTGTCAAGCCATAGATTTCCTTCTGCAAAGTTTTGTATTATACTTGATGGGCTGGGCTTGGGTTGAAATGCTGAGTATGATGGTAAATCTCTTGTCAGGATGATCACTTGAAAAAGATATTTCCAACACATGATTATAGGTAGTTGGTATATTGTTTTCTTCAGTAGTATTTATGACACTAAATTCTTGAGGCTTGAAGTTCTTAGAAAATTCTTTGGAGCCAATGATTTGGTTTGAAACCTGTCTCAAGAGATAGTTAATGGATCTACTGTTTCAGGGAAATGATGCACCTTAATGTTTGCATAGAAACAGTCTACACTTGAAGTGACTCAAGAACCTAATTGCTTGTTACATTCAGTTGGCGGCTAGGGGAGATACCCTACAAGTTTCAGTGCACACATTCATGTCAGTATTCTTGGTTGGAACTCAACCTTTTAAGCTTCAAATACCACATTGAAAACCCCCAGACCAGCTTTTTTCCATGTGTTTCTTTTCCCAATCTGATTACATCCTTTTTCTCCTTTTTTGTTCAGATCCATTTTTCTTGCTTGAAAATCAAAATTTGGAGTATAATTTATGCATGCTTGTGAACTATCAAAATCCTGAACTATCTTCTGTTACATATAAACACAGGTGCTATTCCACATAATATCCTCTTGCCTTGAAAAAGAGACAGATCTTAAGAGTGTCAGATCCCAAGTAAATTTACATTCAATTCAGGAAAGCTTGGCTAATTTTCCCACACATGTTGTCTGTTCTGTTCCTGCTATGTGAGTTTCAGGATGGATAGGTCTGTTTATGTTTGTCAGCCTTGGCCAGACTTTGGGTGAGACTATTGGTTTGGACCAAACCAACTGTATTTACCCTCACATGGGAGTAAAGAGAGAATATTTTATCTGCCCCTGACACTGACAGGATCCCAGAAGTGAAGCTTCCACCCACAATTCAGTTCAATACACACAATTAGTGGCTGTTCTGGTGAATCTAAAACACAGCCACGCCACTTCACACCACAGGGGCTTGGGGAGGGGGTTGACCCCTGTTCCATCTTGAAACACAGACCACCCCACACCACCAACATATTTACCTTGTATTTTCCAATGCGAGGATTATTGGATTCCAAACCTTGGACAGAATCTGTCTGAGGTTTTGATCCAAGGCAATTCTCAGCATAGAAGATTACCTCAGACAAAAACCTTAGACAAGGGCTGTCTGAGGATTCACCTCTGATGATGCCTTGGATTCCGCAACCTGAAGCATCTATGTTGGCAGTGCCAGTTTAAGATGACTTCAAGGCTGCACTAGTTTTCCCAGATTCAGAGTAAAAAGGTGGTAGAATCTGTGAAAAATCTTGTTGGACTTTTAGCAAGAAGAAGACAAATGTACAATGTCTTTAGTTTTTGTATCTTTTTTCTCTATTTCATGTGCTTGACATTTTCAGTTTTCAATTTTATGTGCTGTTCCTCTTCCTTTGTTTGGCACAAAGTATGCTTCTCTGTGCTGTGATCAGTGGTTAGGTTTATTAGTTGAAATGCTCTGTCTCTATTGTGCTTTGTATGGCGGGTGTGTGAAGTGCCAAAAGAATTCCCATCAATTAATGTGACAACATGGATACTATCTGCTTTGGTGAGAGAGAGAGGTGTGGCCAAATGTGAAGATGCAAGAGATGTGGGAATGTGGTAAGGTTTGTGAAGTTCTCTTCAGTTGGATCTCACAGCCTGGCTGTTAAAAAACAACAAAATTCTTAAAGACAGAAAACCCACCTGATGAGGTATGGTGGCTCCTTTCAAGGAGCATTGGTATGAATTTTTCATACATCTGATTGGATTTTCCTTATCAAAAGCCTAGAAGATTGAAACTGAATGAGATATGGCTTACTTGACCAATTCCCTTTTTGAGCCCTACCCACAATAAAAATGAAGAAACCATTTAGGTATTGATACAGTCGGCTCTCAATATTAGCATATCTATGGTCGACAGATTCTCCTTGCTTATATTGCACAATGCATATTGCAAAAGCATAATATGCCTTTCGGGGCCAAACTTAACTAAGTCCCTCTTGAGCTGTACCAGCCCGCTCAAAAGAGGGACTTACGAGTAAAGTGAAATTTCTGGCGTGAGATCGGACGGTCCTTTGACCAAAATCCTACAATCCGCACTCACGCCCAATCTCACCAATGGACTCAGGCAGTGCTCATAATGAAAAAGATGTGCAGTCATCCTGCACATCTTTCTCCGTTTTCCGTTTGGGAAAATCTCAAACGGCCAAAAAGAAAACTCAAAATGTAGAGATGGGGTCAAATCGGGGCCACCAAGAGGCAAATGAAATTTAAATGCTGCGCTTTTGATCAAGTAAAAGCACGTTAAGATCACAAAGGAGATTGGCTTAGCCAGGGCCTTAAGAATAATGCATTTTCTGGTCCCATCCACACCGTGGCCTGATCACCCAGCGCGCAAGAGTCAGCCGCGATGAAATACGTGAATGAAGAAGTTAAGCATACATACCTGATGTCATCTTAATGGGGCAACTGAGGACTGGGAGGCGCAACGTAGATTTCGAGGACCTCCATCTGTGTCATCCCAGGAGAGAAAGTTAATAGTCCAGAAGACACAATAAGACGTTCAGGGACAACGTACCTCGCTTAATATCAAGCATTTCCACACCTTTTCCGCGTTTCCAGCACCGTACAGCATAGCCTTCACCTTGTAGAGGAGCTGTAGAACCCATCCGCGGTTCTCGGTGTCATCCCCTCTCCATTCCTCCTGATACGGACCCAGCGAAACATTGGTAGGATCCATGAGGGTGAGTAGGAACTGGAAGACCGTCATGTTCTTGTGTTTGATGAATTTACAAATGTCAACCGTTTTATCGACAAGTGATGAGTCCTTGTAGGTCGGGAAAAAGTCCCAGTTGGAAGCTTGGTTCGATAGATGGACCAACGAGGGTATAGTGAGGCCTTCGGCCTCTATTACGTGCTTGATTCTTAATAGTGAAGCTCTAGTGGTACGAGTTAACTTTGGGCTCGCTTCACCCATTTCGCTGGGTAGAGAGTGAGACATGAGGCCGGGTGGGAAGTGGGCGAAAATACAGCTCAAGAGGGACTTAGTTAAGTTTGTTTCGGGGCCATGTATACCAAAAAAAATCCCGCAAAAACCTATGCATATAGCAAGATATGCCTATGTCGAGCTTGCTTACATCGAGAGTTGAGTGTAGTAAAAACCACATGTAATAAAAACATGACAGCAATTTGTACCTATCACCCTTATCATCAAATTCAGTTCAAAACAACTCATGATGATCTAACACAGGTCACAGATATGTATCTGAAATTTTTACTGAACCAAAATCATCTTGAATGGGTAATAATTCTAACTTTTATTGAGGTGAAAGAAAAGAGTGGTAATGCTTAAAAACAATCAATGAAAGCTTTTCTGGTAGATGTTCTGTATACTTACACAGTCAAATCTCTGAAATCCAGTGCACTTGGTGGACAATTTTTGTGCCAGATAGCAGAGCTTACTGGATTCCATAGTCAATATTCCTGCTGGGCAACCAAATTGGTGTACATAAGCTCAAATGTATCTTTCCAGATAACAGATTGTGAAGGACTGAATTTTGTAGATTTCACTCTATATTACATAGAGAAGCAGGCAGGAAAAAGTTCTTTTCACTAATTTTCTTTGATGAGATCATTGGAGTGTACTGAAACATTCAAAACTGAAAGAGGATTTCAGTGACATCAAATCACCTAAAATTTAAAACCAGGATTTAGATCAATGTTTTCCCCCATTGCAATGATGACATTTCAGGTGATGGGAGCTTGACTTTGAAGTCCACATCATTCATCTGAGTGAATTTAGAGGTAGATAAGGTATCACTCCAAGCTTCATACAGACTTTTAAGACCATGGATTGGGATAGGATATCTTCTGATAACTTGGTTTTGTGAGAGTGAATTGAATAGTTTATAAGGATCTGACCAATCTATAGTAACCCTTGATGATTTTTCAACTTCCATATCAAAGATCTTTGGTAAATCAGTTTGAAAATTAAAGTCTTTCCACTTGGAAAACATTCCTTTCAAAAAATCCCATGCACTTTTGAGAAGGATTCTGAGTGTATTATCTTGAGTTTCCTTTTGGTAGAGAACTTTGACCAGGCCTATGAAGATTACAGTTAGTCTGTACTCTCCCATACTGTTAACCCTGATAATTGTTTCAATATTTATCTTATGAGGATCATGATTCAATAAGTCTTCTGATCTTTTCTTGGGTCTTTTCCCAGCTAAAGAGATATCAAGATTGTATACTTGCTTGTAGGAGCTCAATAGATCTTCAACTAATGAACCAAAGAAAGCATGGACCTCTTGGCACATTTCAATTCCCTTAGGTGAGTGGAATTGTGCAGAGTGAGATAATGACAAACATATTTCATGCCATCTTGATGCTACTGTGCGTTCATGATGGACTTGATAGTCTCCACAGTATCTTAAACCTATAAATGCAAGGTTTGTTATCCCTGATCTTGAGTAAAGCCCACCATAGCTATACTTTACATGTGATTCATGGAATTTCTGTATCACTGAATAAGATCCCCCTAAATGGTTTATTCCAATTCTTGAAAAAGTTCTGTTTTGATCCCATTTGACTACAAGGGAGTTGATGATATCAGCTGGTATATTGTTTTTATTGCTAAAGCTGCTCAATGACTTATACCATGATGCAGGTTCATTCCATTTTGTTTTGAAATAGTAATTCCTCTTCACTCCAGGATGATTACTCTCAATCTTTAGATCTGCATCTATCCAACTCCCAAACTGTAATTTGATGAAATTCCATCCCTCCTGAAGAAGATTTAACCAAGATACTGGATCACCTCCCTCAGTGGCAAAAATCAAAATAAGGCCCAGAAAACATGTTGTTATCTTTGAGTGAGCAATTCCTGTTGCTTGTTCAACATGCTTTCTAATAGAGGCATTCCCATTGGCTTTGGCAATCATGTCATGTTTGAGCTCTTCAAACCATAGAGTTGTTTCATAACACAAACTTGGAGAATTGTTCACAAAAAATACACCTATGTCAAGTAGCAATGGAACTGCTTCTCTTGTGGAAAACTCTGAAGGCCCTTTTCTATTTGACTGACGTTGTATCACAGGGGAGCTAATCAGACCATTCAAAGGACTCTGAAATGGGTGATCTTTGATAGCTATGTCCTTGTACTTCTCAATGGTTGGGAAGCTTTGAGCCATATGACTTGTGTGTTGTGTGGGAGTAGCAATTTCATCACTTCTGTTGACTCCTGAATCCTCCATACCCCGTGACAAAACAGTTGCTCCTGAAGAACTTGGAACATTGCTGTAAGCCATGTGTGGTGAATCCCATGGCCATTTTGTGTCCAGAAAACATGAATCCCCTGGTCCTTCAGATGCCTTCCTTTTTTCTCTTCTTGATTCTGAATTCATCAGGCCCTGACCCACTGTGGATGGTATCATCCCAAAATTATCCATGCCCTTCTGGTTATCCTTTATCCAATAATCTGGGAAGTGAAAACTATTCACTGTATCTGAAGGGCCTTCATTTGGATTACCCACTGTATATGAAGAAGCTTGAAAGTTTCTTGGAGAGAGGTAAGGAATACTCTGATCAATATCAAATTGGTTAAAACCTTCACTTCCTGATACTTGACTCCTCTGTCTGTTGTGAATGTTATTGCATGTGATGCCATGATCCTGTGTGGTTTCTTTCAACATCATGACATATGGGTCCCTGTTCAAAAATGGAAATTTATATTGTACATCATGGTTTCCCTGAAAGGTATGTTCCATGTCTGTCAGTGGTCTGGTTATCCCAGGTGCTATCAAATGAGGTCTTAAGGGTTCTCCAACAGGCCCAGGAATATCACACCATTCATCAAGATTTTGGTATAATGTGTGATGATCTTTGGATTGAGAAGAACTACTGATTATAGCCTGTGGACTTGTTGCAGTGCTGAACTCTAATCCCAAGTTCTGAGGTCTTGCAATTGGTACTTCAGTGGGTACATAACTCACATGCTCCAATGTTAAGGGGACACTATGATGCTTGCTTGATAGGCTCCCTGTCCCCAATTCTGACAATGAAAAGTAAGGTTCTTCTCTCCAATATGATTGTGAATCCCAATGGGCTATAGAATCTTGAGAGAAATGCTTTGATCCATCATACTTTCTGGTATCATGCAATTCAAATATGTCTTGACTCTCTGGTGCAATAAAATGACTTGGTTTTTCTGCTTCAGGAATGTTATTATCAAGCCATAAATTTCCTTCTGCAAAGTTCTGTATAATACTTGATGGAGTGGGCTGATGTTGAAATGCTGAGTAGGATGATGGTAAAAATCTTATCAGGATGATGATCTGAATAATATCATTCCAACACATCATTATCAGTAGCTAGTCAATCTTTTCTTGCAGTTGGATTGTTGACAGGATCTGATATGGCTAGATGTTTTGAAGCTTCAAGTTCTATACACAGGCCTTCTCTGAACCTGACGAATTGATTGGACACCTCTCACAGCAAGAACTCATCTTCTGTATAATGCCCCTGCCCTATGATCTGCTGTTTCAGTTCTAAACCAATGCACATCATAAATATGGTATGTATAATAGACACAGTAATTGAAAATTGACTGCTCATGAGGTGCTTAGTGGCTAGCAGCAAAGTCTTACAAGTTTCAGAGAAAAAGTTAAAATCAGCTCTTCTTGCTCACAATTCAATGCCTTGCATGTGTTTCTTTTTGTAAAGATTTAATCACAAGTTTCTTTCTTGCTCAAATTCAATTTTCTTGTACAAATTCCAACACTTTCCATACAATTGCTTTCTCTAAAAATTTAATCTCAAGGTTTTTTTGTTGCATCAAATTTAATGTTCTTAGTGGAAAATTTACCTCTGGAGCATCCAAGAACAATTCCAGAATCTTATGTCTAATATCTAGGAACTCAAGCTTGATGAATGCTAATTACTATTCTAACTGGTCACCTGACCTGGTCCGTGAATGCACACAAGTAGTTGTTCAAATTCCAATCCTAATTTTTTTTGTTACAACTTCAGAACAACATAGATGTCAAGGATGTGTTGGACACTGGGCATAAGGAAGAAGGATTTTGAGGGATCCATTTCCCAACTTTCAACCTGTGTAACACTTCTAACAACCCAGTACTAGTAGGACCCCAAGAAATATGCCCAAGCATCCTCCCCCCAACCCCTCTGACCTTTAACAAATCCAGCCTCAGTGAATGCCTCTTCCAATGCCCCCTCTATGCAAGCTAAACACATACTCCACTACACCAAGAAGAAAGTCAGGATGGTAATCAATCCAGGTAAAAGTGATGATATCCTTCTAAGTTCAACCAAAGTGAGTGACACACACCCCAAAAACTAAACAAATGACAAATTGTTTACCAGGAGAAGCCATTTCAAAAATCTCTCAAGGAACTGATCAGCAAGCTTCTAGATGTAGTGAAGACTAGTGTTCCACCGCTATCATGGAAGAAACCCACCATAAAGAGCATCTCCATTGATGTATGTGGAGACCGGGGCAGATGTCTTAGTCTTAACAGGTGCCATACATGACCAGTTTATGTATGTACAATACAAAGATCTCCTATACAATCTCACAACACTCAATTCACTTGCATTGGCAAGAAAATTCCAAAAAAGAGTTACATGTAGCATCATATTTCAAGCAAAAAGAAATCAACAATAAGTCAGATTCACACCTTGCATCAATTGGGTAGCAGTCTCATTTAAACTTATGACACTTCCGCAACAAAACAAAGGCCTAAGAAAATACACACTTCATAGTCATTGACTGACTCCAAAAATGTACCAGGTAACAGCCCAGCAATGCTAGTCAGAGAGATATGTATGACAATACTATTAAACCCTCAAAGGCTTTGGACACTGTGGTGATATATTTATGGGATCACTCAGAAAAATAAATCATAGTAGTTTACCAAAGTTATCAGAAAGGTTTTAGCCCAAAGAAAAACTTGAGTAGGTGGAATCTGATCAATAGAAGCTTTTTAAGGCTTATATATTGCACATTGAATGATGATGAGGTCATTTTATTTCAAACAACTTATTAAGATCAACATGAACTATCAGTAAAAGGATTGTAAAAAGAAAACAAAGAAAAATATTATAAAAGTTCAAAGATATAGGTTATATATAGGCTAGGAAATGGTTTTGAGGGTCATATTTTTTGGTTTATGGTTCTGTAAAATGGTAATATGAAGAAACAACAGTTAAATAATGCATAAAAATCTTAATCTTGATGATTGATGAGGAAGAATAGAAGTGATTAAGAAAACAATACAGTTTCAAAGTTGGTCAACAAGCGTATACAGGTAGATTACATGTGTAGTAATAGTATTAGTCATAATTAAGGTCGCCAAGAGGATTTTCAGGGTTAGAATTATACAGGAATGATTATGTCATAGTGTAGTGGAGGAAAAATGATGATCATCATAGGTGTAAAAAGTGAGGAAAATGGGTAAAACCTGTCAAAAATAGTGGTTTTTAGACAATTACATATGTCAAATGACGTCAGATTAGCTTGCTAGACAGTTCATTCAACGCAGCATCACAGGACCCCGGTATGCTCTTATAAGGGGTACAGATCCAAAAATGTGACTTTTGAGCTTGCTCGGAAACTTGTCCCTGGCTTTACCCATAGCTTTAAGACAGGTTTAGTCTTTTTAATCAGCTGTATTGGACTTAGCGACTCTGAAATTCAGGCAGAAACTGGTAAAATCCAAGAGAGCACTGTTTAATCCCATATGTTGTATCTCCGCGCGAGCTCAAAAGTCACAATTCTAGATCTGTACCCTTCATAGGAGCATACCGGGGTCCTAGCATCACCCATTACATAAGTTAGAAACTTTCAACCACTAGTAACAGAGGTGTGTGAAGAAGGTTATAAGGAATTGGAGCAAACTTTGGATTTTACGCTTACATGTGCATACATGTAACAACACTTACATACAAAAACCCTAACTCCACAACTCATTCACTCATTCATCACTCATCAAAAGTAAATTACATGGGACCAAATTATTAATCATCATCATGATCTCTATAAGATTCACTCTAGTAATCAAAAATTGAATGTCATTTGAAAAAACCTGTAACTTCAAAAATAAGTTTTCAGCCAGATTGTAAGGCACAAAAATCACCTTTAGTCATCATAAGAAGCACCATGTAACGTCATTGATCACTTTTGGATGTGTAAATCATATCATATATTAGTAACAAACTCATAACAAAACATCATCAGAGAGTTTTTAGGAATTTTTGGTCAAAATTAATTGGGTTTTTGAGGTTGTTGACCATCATAAGAGTTGTACTAACTTAACACAAGTCCCAAACTCGCAGGGGTTTTCTTACCTTTGCAATCTCGGTGCCCTGGAGAGGGACTTGGGACTTATTAGCTACTTTTGGTGTACCAGCAGGGACCGGAAAAGGCCCTGCTCTTCTACAGCCTGGCATCTTCTGTAGTTGGTACAATATAGATTTTCTGAGGAGAGCAAAATCTTCAGAACATTTAGACAAACAACTTTGGTTTTTGAACAAAGTTCACTGATCAATCATTAATCCTATTGCAAGTGAAAGAATTTAGGTCCTTTTTAAATTTTGTTTCCAAAATACAGTCACCAAACCACAAATCTCAAAATCTTTCTCTCCTTCTTGAGAAAACTCAGAGCGAGATATGTCAAATCTGAATAGACAGATCTGATGAGAATGGGCACAGGTAGCTCCAGTTCAAATGGGCAAGGGGGTTGATTGAGAGGAAGTGGGAGCTTTTGCGGTTTGAAAAAACCTCCAAGCCAAAGTTGAATTTTGAACCCCCTGCTGGCTCACCAGGGAAGCCCAATAAGTCATAAGTCCCTCTCCAGACACCCAAGCTCGCGAGGAAAAAGTGTCTGGGCCACAGAGGGACTTAGTTAAGTTAGAGAGTTGTAACACATCAATACATATATACACCACGGGGCAATCGTTGAGCCAAAAGCTGAGCTCAAAAGTGGTCGTGTCTGAAATTTGGTCAAACACTGGCCAAAAGCTGAAGTTTTAGTCAGATCTTGACGGTCGGGTGAGACCGGCTGTTTTCTGGCCAAAAACTGAGCTTTCGGCTTGAAAAAAGCCGGTCGGTTGGCTGGTTGATCTGACCGTAAATCAATCAGCCTTATGGCTGTCAAAAGATGGCCAAAAACCAAGCATCCGGCCAGCTTTTCAAACATTCAAAAAGCTGGCCTTGAGACGGTCAAACAGACGGCCAAAAGATGAGTCTAGAGTAGACAGGGCTCCCTTATTTGAATCACTTGTCACTGTAAGATGTCACAAGTTAATGACCATATAAGGTAAAGTCTGTGATGACCTTCATGCAACGCTCGGACCTCAACGTAATCTACCGTAGTGTGGTGGAAGTTCCATAACACTACGGTAGACCGCTGTAAGTGCCTACCGCGCCGTACCGTTAAGTGCAGACCACCGTATTCAGAAGTCCACTTTGGTACGGTCTCATCGTAACGCGCCGTACCGCAACTGCGATTTTTGGCTCAAATAACGGTCATAACGGTGGATTTTTTTAAAAAAATGTACAAGAAGTTAAAATTTCACATATAGTCATAATGGAATTTCAACGAGAGACAAGAAATAGATAAACGAGAGACAAGAAGTAGATGAACAAGAGTAGAGTGAAAAAGACACGATAGAGAGACAAGCAAAAATATAAATTGTTAAAGTTGTTCTTAACAATTGTAAACAGAAAATGACAAACAAAAATATGAAACAATCAATTACTTCTTGACCTTCTTCTTCAGCTGTGCCTCGTGTTCTTTAAGGTACTTGACCGCATCTTGAAACTTATCCGTGGGTACGACACCGGACTTAATCCACTCTCTACATCCCACCTTCCGAGTGATAGTGTTCGGAAGGATGGAACCTTGACCTGGCGCAGCAACATCTGCGGCCGAGGAGAAGGAGCGCTCAACGCAACAAGTAGTTGCCGAAATGGACAGGTAGTCCCGTGCCATCGAAGCCAGCACAGGAAATGACTTCTCATGTTTCTGACGCAGTCACATAGTAAGTTTAGCTTATCACTCTCAGACTCAAGTGTCCAATCAAAGAAAGTGACTTACTCTCCACCAGTCCAAAGGTTTTTCATCAGGCAAAATGCCAAACTTCCCTGACAAATAATCCACCAGCTCATGTTCATATTGAGATGTTGGTGCAATATGATCAGACCCAGCGGCAAACATGTCAAATTCATCAATCGCAGTAGGGACTGTTGTTTTGATAATTATTGTATCTTTGGCCACTTTGGCTTTCCAGTCACACACCCAATCTCCAAAAACCTCATGAACAGCGTCCTTTGCTGAATCGACCGCGGTTGGATAAAAATCCTGGATGAACTTCAATCGTCTGTGAGGGTTAAGAATCATGGCAATGAGGATAATTTTGGTGTCTAAAGCCTCGTCCTGGTATTTCTTGAGCCAGGAGAGCATCTCTTCAAGTGCTCGGTTGATACTAGGGAACATGGAGGCCTCCTTGAACATTTCAAGTTTCTTCCCGATGCGGAGGTACTCAGCAAGGACCTCACAACCCGAGGAGAAGTCGCCCTGCATTAGAAAAGTGGCATCTTCAAAAACCTGGAGTTGATTGAATCAAATCAATGAGAATGGATCACAAAAAGATATACAATAGTTGATGAATGACTTACCTCCAAAATAGGATTCAATGCCTCGACTGCTTCCCACTCCTCGTCGCATAGAGAGAGACCCCAATAATACTTGTTTGTCTTTCGGTCCTGCGAAGTCATCGCGTTGAGGATCTGATGAAAACATGTCCAATCAGTATACCTCGATGCTTTTTACCCTGACACAGGCTAAACTTACTTCTTTACCTTCACATGCCCTATGCCTACTGTCAGCTACGGAATGCGACATGTGCCAAAGTGACAACTTGAAATTTCAAAATCGAAATTTCAGAATCCCCGGGTCAGAAATTGACAAAACTGGAATAAACATCAGATTTAACCCCAATACTGGTCTGAAACCGCCTGTATTGGGGATAAAACCTATCTTTCTGCCAGTTTTCACAATTTCCAGACCACAACTCAAATATCGACCACTGACTTGGCACTTTGGCACAAATATTACATGAAAATTTCAAGAAATCAATTTTCATCATGTCAAACTTCACATATGTATAAAACAACAAAACCCAATACCTAACCGTACCACAGGACAACCTCAGCAGCCAAAACCTACAGATCGCACAATCATTACTCGGGAAGACACAAAACCTAATCACAATTTGCAGAAATAATCACTCTTAACCTACCTCTCCCTCCCCAATTCGATCCTCACCCAGCAACGTCCTCATACCATCCAAAAACCACATTCACTTGTCACTTTGACACATATTATCCAATCCATTCTATCAATCATCAATCTCTCCATTTCATCATATAACTACTGTTATCATGCCTGGACGAATTGAAATCTCAGATGATATCTTACACCCTATCCTAGAACAAGCTCATAACAACAAGTGGACAGCACAATCGGTATCCAACAACATCTGGAGAAGTCATCAAATCAAGATCAGTGTTCGTACCATCCGTCGACGTATTGAGGCATGGGGTTTGAAACACCGAGTGGAGTATGATGAAGAGACTGTCACGAAGGCTGTGTTAGACAAGCACGGTAAAAGTTACAATCAAAAAAGAACCCTCATCTCAATGAAGAATGAAAACAAAATTGTCATCAGCCGTTCCACCTTGGCTCGTCATGAGAAGAGACTTCAGCTTAATCGCAAACGAGATGATCTTGATCTCAACAAAATTACTTACGAAGAGCTTGTGCAATTGATTAACCAAATGGAAGAAGATTTTGGTCATGTGCTGGGTATCAAGAGTATCAAGCGAAAGCTCATGGCTGATCATAACTTGCATATTCATTGGTGATTAATATACTACTTCATCACATCCCTGATAACCTATGCTGACTTTTCCTCTCTCTTCATTTTTCTCTTTTCTGCTAGTGATGTTATATCGGCCATTCTGAAAGTGATCAATCCTGACATGGTCAAAGTCCGAGCGGCCCACAAACTGAAAAGGCGGCAGTATTATGCGGGTGGTCCTAACCAGGTTTGGGCTTATGACGGACACAACAAATTGATGCCTTACGGAATTGGAATCTACGGTTTCATCGACTGCTGGTCTTGGAAGCTCTTGGGTCTCCATGCTCATGTCACCAACAGTGACCCACGACATGTTGATTTATGGTATCTTGAACTTGTCAAGAAACACAGAGGCATCCCTCAAAAACTCACCACTGACCAAGGTACTGAGACCATCGACCTTGCTGGCCATCAAATGTACTTTGGACAGCAATACGGCACTGAAACCCCCGGTTTCCAGTACCATAGATATGTTCCCTCTACTAGTAATACTAAGATTGAATCTGCTTGGGAGAAGATGCAAAATGCAGTGACTGGTCACTTGAAAGACGAGATTGCTCAAAGGATTGCGGATGGTGATTATGATCCTGATGATCCAATGCAAAGGTGAGTTGGTGATTTGTGTTTCTTTGAGTAGCTCTTGTACTAACTCATCTTTCTTTTAGACTCTTGTTCCTCCAGCTCTACGTACCCGCCATACAAGAAGCTTTAGATACCTACAAAGACCATGCCAACAATTTTCAAAGGCGTAGAGACAACCGCTCTAGGTTACCAACCGGATGTAGTGCTAACTATTGCTATTACAACCCAGGTGACGAGTTTGCTGGCACAGATTACTTGATAGGAGTTCCCAGTTATAAAGTTGATCAGATCATTGAGGAGGATTATCCAGATCAAGAAAGATTATGGACTAAGACACCTGAGTGGTTTGCGGATGTAGTTGACAAAGTCATGTCTGACATGGAGTTTGATTATGATGATTTGAGAACTACGAATGTTTGGGAGATTTTCAATTTTGTATTAGAAAGGTTGAGACAGTATGACTGGACTGGTACTCCCTTTGCACCACAGCCAGGTGAATCCGATGTGGTATTTAATTAGTGATTAAAATCAAATTGATTTGTTCTTGTAGGCGCTTTATTTGTCACTAGCTCAACATACTAGACTTTGAAACATGCTTTAATGAATTTCTCTTAAATTGAGCTCTTTGAATTGAAATGCACAAATTGAAACCTTACAAACCAAAATTCATTTATGCTATTATGGTAAGCAACCTTTATCAGGAAAACCGCTTGTGTATTGGTTTATCTTTTGAGAAACAAGAGACTTGATAGAGACAGTTACAAAAAGGTAGCAGAAACCAGCATCCCATATGTTAGATCTTAATTGCGGTAGCATTGATTGGGATCTCCCAAATCTGATACATCCCCTGTTGGAAACTCCTCCACACGCAGTGCTTCAGCCTTCTCCAATTCCTCTGTAGGGACAGTTAATGTAATCACTCTCTTTGCCAGGGCAGCTTTTCTCTTCTGAACCTGGAACAAGTGAGAGCTAGGTGTTAGGGCTACATTCACTCACAGGAATTTGTTGTTACACTCACATTGTAAAGATGCTGCTCAATTGACTGTCCAGTAACTACATGAAATACTCTGACAGGCTTGGCCTGACCAATTCGGTGAAGGCGGTCCACAGCTTGTTGCACTACCTGAGGGTTCCAATGTGCATCCTGAAGATACACCACTGCTCCATCAGTGTTCCCAGATCCAATGTAAAAGCCTGACTTACCATCAAATAGACCTCGTCCGCACATGTCATGTTCAAACCTACCCCACCAGCCTCTATTGATACGACAAATGCTTCAACATTTGGGTCCTTGGTGAAAGAATTGAGTTGAGAAGTACGCTCAAAGGTGGACTGGTCCCCATGCAGCTGACGGTACGTGATGCCAGAGTTGTCAAAAGCCATGATGATCCTGGGAATGAAGTCAGCTATTTGATGATATAATGGGGCTAGGTTTTGAAGGAGCTCACCAATCAATAAAGCTCTTCCACTGAGTGTATATAACACTCTTCCCACCACCATGTGATTTTTTCTTCTGAAGCATGTGAACCAAGTATGCAATCTTTGGGCTAAGCTTCCAGTCCGTTGGAATAGCATCTCTTACCTTGCTGTTATGAATTCTTTCATCCGGTAATTTTATACCCAGTTTTTGCTCAATGAGATTAATGGGTTGATTTTCTGCATCAACACCCTGTTCAATTTGCCTGAATAAAAGAGGGTGGTTGCAAGTCATCCTGAGATTGGTGAGTTGTTTGAAAAATTCACCACCTTGAAATTTCTGCTTCCTTTCAACTCCAAACTGCCGTAAGAAATTCTGATATAGAGTTTGATAAACATCCTTAACCTCTTTATGCATATCTAAAATAATAGTGGTGTGATTAATGGGTGGTAAATCAAATATGTGACTGTCCTTGGTCCTCCTAAGCATAATGTATCGCAAAAGTCTAGAAACTGGGGCCAAATTTCCACGCTGAACCGGTTGAGCAATGTGTGTATCCCAAACCGAATCCTTGTAGAAAGGGGTCACGTGTAAAAACCTCAGCATCATCTGAAGGTCGCCTAGTTTGTTGTGCAGTGGTGTTCCTGTCAGACACAATCTATTGACAGCTTTCAATGCAGTGACACATCTGCTGGAAAAATTGTCATTTCAGATAATACTAAACAAAGTGGAATATCAGTAATTGAACTGAAATTTTACAAGCCAATAGATACACTGACTGTGCTTCGTCAATTACCACACGGTACCACTTGGTTGCATATGTAAGACTATCAAGTTGGTCATTTTGAAGAGTACCTAATGTTGTCAAGATGATGTCTGCTGAATACCATTCTTCTGGTGCACGGCTGGTTCTATTTGTATCATGCCAGCGCATAACCTTGAGTCCCGGTTGTCTTGTATGAAGCTTGATTTCACGTTCCCAATTGTCCATAAGCCCCTTGAGACAGATGAGTAAAGTGGTATGTGAACCTCTAAGTTGACTTTTGGGGCTTTCTCTTTGATAATTCGTCTCGTAACTGAATGCTGCTTGGAGAGTATGTGCAATCAGTGCTATAGTCTGAATTGATTTTCCAAGCCCCATGTCATCAGCCAGAATTGAAGCTCGAGGACTGGTTGGAACTGGTTGTTGATCAGTGGCAATGAATGACTCGCCGCAGAGAAGGTTTGTCCAGATAGTGAATTCTGCGCTCTTTTTGGAGTGCCAAAAGGAGTTGAATGCTGCATTGTGCGGATCCTCTCGATCAAGTAAAAATCCCAGGCCCTGTTGTTGATGAGGTCTGAGCTGGGAGGATAATAGAAGAGATTGGTTGACTGGTTGCACATCTGATCCGCTGGGAATGGCTCTAAGCATGGAAATAGCATCAGTTGGAAGATTGATCAAGTCTGGGTAGGCTGCCTTCCACTTGGGTGACATAGAGGTGGGTGGAGGAAACAGGCTGATGTTATTATGATTGTGAGGATTGTAGGACTGAGGAGTCTCGAGTCTGATGCCATATTTCACTAAAATATCCTTGAAGTCTGGCATTTTCCAGAATTTGATAAATATCAAGGTAGTAACTTCAAATTGAATCATTCCTGAGACTTCAAGTGATTGGACAGAGCTGCTGATGAATGCTAATTGGTTGGCAGTTGGATTCCAACCGCCAGCTGGCTTTGATTTATGTTTGCCCTGTTGATTTCCTAGTATTTCTAGTAGAAATGATTGAAGATGTGGTGGTAAGTAACCAATAGTTTTCCCATTCGGAATTACCAGTCTGATCTGTGGGTACTCCTGTTGTTGATCAGTAATGAATATGTGTATTGGGGAATTGAGAGGGAGCTGTACTTCCGTAGCCGATGACGTCAAGGTGACAATTTTGAAGGTAACACAACCAGCGCACACAACTTGGGGAGTCATACTGTGATATATATGATGATGTGAATGATAATTGGGTGATGAGCAATACGGTTTAATGGATGCAAAAAGTGGAAACTTGAACATCTTTACTGGTTGACACACATGTTGATATATGAGAATCTGATCACCGAACTCAATGCAAGTCATACCAGGCTATGACATGCGTGGAAAATCCGTGTGGGGAAATACAAATGGATTTTCCAATGTGGGGCGCTTGTGGGGACAAAACTCACCAAGATTTGCATTGATCACCACAACCATGGTTATCATCTTATCAAACCCTTTATGGGAATCCTAACTACTGCTGTTCCTTGGTCTGTATAGTCCACCGGTCCCAGTGGGGTTTATCTGAAAGAGATCTCTTGACAAATAACAAAGGAAAGCATAGAAGAGTAAATAGAAAAAAACTTATGCCTAGGTGGTCAATCTCTGATGGAGAGACCACCTATGTAGGCCCAGGTGGTCTTTTCTCCAGTCGATCGACTGGGAAAAACAACCTTGGAGCGGCAGACTCGGAAGCCCCGGTTCCAGGGCCAATTCTCCTAACGCTAGGTGGTCTGCCTATCAAGGTTTGACCACCTAGGTTAAGTATATTTTGAATGCTAGGTGGTCAAACCTTGATAGGCAGACCACCTAGCGTTAGGAGAATTGCTCCAGTCAATCGACTGTAGAGAAACACAAGCCCTGGGACCGGTGCTTTCATCTACCCCGGTCCCAGGACTTCTCCTCCAGTCGATTGACTGGAGGAGGGAACCTAAGCCTAGGTGGTCTACCTCTCAAGGTTTGACCACCTAGCTGAAGGATAATTGACCTGCTAGGTGGTCAATTATCCTGAGGCTATGCAGGCCACCTAGGCTTAGGTGGACTGCTTCTCCAGTCGATTGACTGGAGGAATGGCCCTGGGACCGGGGCTTTATTCTATCCCGGTCCCAGGGCTCGTTCTCCAGTCGATCGACTGGAGAACAGACCCTAGGGCCACCTAGGCTCCAGTCGATCGACTGGAGAGAGAGGCCCTGGGCCCGGTCAAGTGTACATACCGGTCCCGGGGCCGCTTCTCCAGTCGATCGACTGGAGGAATAGGCCACCTAAGCCTAGGTGGACAAACTTTAATAGGAAGACCACCTAGGCTTAGGTGGCCTGTAAGTGAGAAAGGCCCTTCTCCCACTCAAAGTATACACAACCTGTATGCAATTGAGATTGAAAAAGATATCAATTGATTTTTTTGATCACTCCCTCCCTCTCATTCAATCAATTTTTCATTTCAAATTCAACTCATCCACTCGCATCATCAACTTTTTTTGTTGAACACCAACCAACTTAATAATTCAACCATCATCAAATGGAGGATCTTACCCATACCAATGTTTTAACCCAAATTGGTGAGGATATTATTCCTGGTGACCGTCCACCTACTCCATCCACAATGGATATGGACACCGACTCCGAAGACCAAGATTTGGATGACTCCAATACCCAAATCAAACCAGATGCAGCCAAAGTATTGTCCGTACCCTCACATCAGGCCTTTCCACAAGCTCCTACGGTTCCTGGACCTCTCTCTCAGTTACAATCATCTGGATTGTCCAAAGCGGAATTGCGGCGTGTGACCAAGGCTGAGTTCGAGCGGAATTGCTCCCATCCGGTTCCTGTGCTCCGTCAGCTGCAGACTGGTCCTGACATCCCGGATGATGCCATCGAACACATTGAGGCTGCTGCTGCGATATGTGAGGCCAGAGTTATCAGTATGTCTTTTGAAGATCACAATTTATCAACTCTAATTTCCTTAGCTAACATTTATACATCATTCTTAGATCTGCGTAAAGGCATTCATCCACCACCAAGCGACAAGGTGATTGTCATTGACTTAACACGAGATGATACGCCTGATCCTACTGTCATTCGACGATCGGACCGTCAGACTAGTGGTGTCAAGAACTATGCCGGCTCCCAAGTCCCCACCAAAAAAAGACCACGTCTTGCACTTGATCCGGTCCGAGATGATGGTGAAGAAGAAAACCCTGAGGAGGAAGAAGATGACTTGGACCAACCAAATGATAGAGACAACTTGGACTCTACGATTCTTCCGAATGAACAACAAAACAAGCCAGTCCCTGATGAACATCCCGTACAAACTCAGACTCAAAAAACTCCTCTACGTAATGAAGCTGGAAGTTCTTCTAATGAACAACCAAGTCAGCCAGTTCCTGAGAAAAATCCGTTTCAAACTCAGAATCAAGAATCTCCACCGGAATCTCCTCCACGGAATGAACTTGGACCTTCTTCGAATGAACAATCAAGTCAGCCAGCTCCTGAGAAAAATTCGGTTCAAACTGAGACTGAAAAATCAACTTCAACGGAATCTCCTTCACGTACTCAAGTTGGAACTTCTTCAGGTCCAACTCATTCCAACTCTTGTTCGCCCAAAACTATTGAACCAGTCACACATCAGATTGATCCTATCACGAATCCCACCTCCAACTCAACCATTGATCCGAGAATTGATCCAAACATCACTGTCCAAACGGTTTCAACTGGAGCTAGCTCTTCCACCCAGGCAGCAAGTAGCTTGGGACCGGCCTCTACCAATCCCAATGCAGCACTTGAGAACTCTGCACCACCCAAAGAATCTGCCGAATTACCTTCAACAGGACAGATTACGAACCCGGTGGACAAATGTCTTGCATCTTCAAGCAATGACATCCAATTGCCTGAGGACGACCTGAACCAATTGGACTTAAATGCTATGGACATTGATCTGCCCACTGACAAACCAATGATTGAGCCTGATACACACATGACCACCGATCCGGAAGACACTCCTAGAGTCATGCCTTGCTCCCTCTTCAACATCTAGGGTATACAAATATGGTTCTGGAAATTTCCAGAAGTGTTTCCCCAGAACACCAGAAGTTTTTTTTTGGGGTGTGTTCTGAACTTATGGTATTCTGAACCTTAGAATAACCAACACTGCATGTTTTCCAGAAGAGCAGGAGACTTCTGGTGTTCTGGAAAAAGATGTCTGGAAATTTCCAGAACAAACTTTGTATACCCTAATCGACGAAGAGGTCTTTATGGAAGCTTTCAAGATGTTTCCCATCCGAATCTCACGTGCAAAATATGCAGAGGGACGCGACCTTGTTTTAAATTTGTTAATGTTGAGATCCAAACATATTCCACTCCTTGTCAACCCAAGATATGGACTTCCAAAGGGTGTTACCTTTTCAGACTCTGAGATGATGTCTCCGGGGGAATGGATTCAAAACCTGACACAACAAGGTGAGTACTTGGAATGGTATATGGTACATTTGACTGAGAAACTGATTCAGTATTTTCAAAGGTGTTGATTTCTTCTCACCTCAGCAAGGAGAGCTGCTGTTCAGTTCCGAAATTTGGACCCCTATCTTATTCCGACCGGAAGATGATCCTCCAAAAGACAAGACTTCAATAGCTTTCCAAATCTATTGACTAATGAGACCACTTGCATATCCTTCTGAATACCATCAGCGCGAGGCGTCTCGTTTATTTCAGGATGCAATTGCAGTAGCAGCAGACGAAGTCATACGTCATGAAGATTTTTTGGCCAAACCCGACTTGACGGATTACAAGAACAGCTTTCGATTTGTTACATATCTTCTCAAAACCAGCCCAAAGCTTGGATCAGCCGGAGTACACTTAATTGAAGATTCAAATGCCATGAAGAAGGCTGCAAGTCTAATCAATCTTAACTACTTTGCTACAAATGTTCATAATGTGATCCTTGGTGTGGCGATACTTGATTTATATGCGAAAATGCCTAAAGGAAAAAGCTCAAATGAAGATAAGGAACTTTATAATCGTCTTGATAGTCAAATCAAACTTGTTAAGAAATCTAGATTTACCTGGGGTTGTTTAGGATCATTTTTAATCAGTGGTGTCAGAGGTTTAATGCTCACTTCAAGGGACTGCAAGAATACTCCGGCTCCAACTGTTTTAGCTGTTGTGAAGGCTGCAGCTGACATACAGAAGGCCAGAAACGTATTAATCAAAGAAACCATATGGATTAGGACTCACGACTACATCATGAGGCTTTTGTCTAGGAATTACAACTCTTTCAAAGGTGATACTTCAGTTTCTAATGCCAAGTTTGATGGTGTGCATGTGCAAAAGGTACCCTTGGCAGTATGTTTGGCTTATGACATTGGTTATTACTGGAGTACCAGGATATCAAGTAACCGTTTGCTACTTCCTGTACCCTATTGTACCGAAGTGGGTGTACAAGGGGCCAGTCTTCAGTTATTGGGTGAAGAAGATGATTGGTACAATCATAATTGTTGATCATGAAATAAAATATGCTTATCTTGAATGAAAAAAATGCTGTCATGTACTTTTTTTTTATTTCAAACAATTTTGTAATGGCAATACATGTCATGGAGCCAAGTTTGCAAGTACAGAATTAAAAAATGTTGTCTTGTACTTTTTTTTTTATTTCAAACAATTTTGTAATGGCAATACATGTCATGGAGCCAAGTTTGCAAGTACAGAATTAAAAAATGTGGTCTTGTACTTTTATTTTTATTTTAAACGATTTTGTAATGGCAATACATGTCATGGAACCAAGTTTGCAAGTACAGAATTAAGACAATTCTTTGCCCACGACTGATCACATGACTTCAACCCACATTCTGGCCATGCTGACAGTATACAACCACATGTATAATGATCAGCAAACCACAAGCTGGCCCTGGGTTGGTTTTCTATAAGTTTGGAGTCAAACTTGTAGCAGAAACATCAAAGCTATAAGTATTTTTGCCGTCACTTCCATCATCACATCAATCAAGTGCTTCCATCCAGGTATTATTCCATCAATCTTCCGTCACTTTCATAGCTTCAGATTTTCATCTCATGTTGTGAGGGTGGAGTGGTAGCAGACAGTGACTTGAGGATATGTGAACTCTTTAGGGGTAAGAATAGGTGACAGAGGGGAACCCCGATAACTGGTCTAGCCTCTTGATTCACATATCACCAAGTCCTGTGTGTTCCACTCCATTCTCATTATATGTGGGTGATCATTCTGAAGCATTCCACATGAACTGACCTTTGTTTTCCTCTTTCTGGAGCCAGGTCATTGGGGTGAGATGTTATATCTCTCTGAGCAAGGTAACCCTAATCATGACTAACTTACTTATCTTAAACAGATGGCTAAGCACCCATCTGATGCCAAGAAGAAAAAGCAAGCTGTTAAGCGGGCTGAGTATAAGGCAGCTAGGAAAGTTCTTTATAAACAGGTGAAGAATAAAAATTTACGTCAGACAAATCGTGAAGCTGAAAGAAGTCAAACTAGAGAAGTTGTAAGTAAGAAAATTGACGGTGGTATTAGAGTAAGGTTTGGACTTCCCAAAGATTGTCAGGTTTTCCGGGTTCCTGCATTTGGACAGCCTAAAATCAGGGAAGTTACCAGAGGTACAGTGGTGTTGGTGAATCTGGCGGCAAACAAGTTGATTTGTGTAGTCAGATTCAATCATGAGGTACATTGGACTCTTCCTCATAAAAGTAACATATGCTGACAATAAGATGGACTGTGTAGGATCCTTCTAGCACTGATCCATCATCAATCCAGCTCTGGGAGGATTTCCGTCGAGCTATTAGAACCATGCATTTACATGCGGAGAGTAGAGGAAACCTTCCGGACAATCATGCGGTTATGGCTCTGCCTGAGGAAGAAAGGCAAGGTAAAATGAGGGGATTTGGTTTCCGGTCTACCAGACAAGCTGGCAAACACAAGTACGGAAAGAAAATTAGTAAGTAGGGATGTTTCTTATTGCAATTGAACCTCAAGGTTCACTCTACCGTGACTGCTTTACAGGTCCTTTTGCACAGAATTCTAGCACTAGCGGTGACTTTGGTAAACTTAAGGAAGATGAAATGCGGCAAGATGATTTACCATGGGTTCATAACTTCCAGGCTGAAAGGACTTCCTCTCTCTGCTTACATGCATATGAAAGTAATAGGGAAGTTGCAATCAAAACTTGTGCTCCTTCTTGGGCTTCCATAGAACCAGTTCCAGGGACTAAGGAATGGACAAAGTCGCCCAATGGGCAGGTGTTTGTAGGGTCCAGTACCATTGTGACCTCAGGAGGCTTCCGCAATGCCCCACATTGTGACTTTGATGCCACTGGGTTTGCATCCGGGTTCTTTTGTTTGATGGATGCTTACACATGTTGAGTTTTCTTTGTATTATACTTGTCACCATGTGTTTAATTAACTGATCAACATGTCTATAGCCAATATCATTTCACCAGAGAGACGATTGGCACTGCGGGCCCAAAGGGCAGAAGAATTGTTGGAAGAAAAGAAGACTGGGAAGTATGTCCAGAAGGAACATCCTGAAGTCGGTGCTCAGTTTATCATGGTGGTTGGGCATTTTGAGTTTAAGATAGATATCAATGCAGCAGATTTGGTAGAGTTGATTTGGGCGACTGACATTAATCATTACACTAGTCATGCACTTTTTTCACTAGAAGAGCAAAAAAAGTTGACAAGTTTAAAAGCAGCAATTACAAGGCAGAAAAATAAAGCTAGGACTGTTGGTCAATCCGGTGGGACCATGAGTCTTGATGGTCAGCATGTGGTGGCCTATGCTTTGTGCTCTCAAATCACATCAGCAGTTGTACAAGCAATGAATAATATCATGGATATGAGGGGGGATATGGAAGATGACGCTTGGGAAAGATACCATCCTACAATTGCTGGAACATATGATGAGCAGCTTGAAAGGAAGATTGACTCATATCACCAATCACACGGTTCTGTTCTAAAATATTTACAATGATTTCTTTTCTTTATCTCAATAGTATGTTTAAAAATGAATTGGAAAGAGTATGTGACCCTACTGATACTTTTGAGTCCCTTGTGGAACGTGAGATTGATAGGCAGATTTACCATATAGTATCTCAACTTCATTATCAGAGTCCTTTGAGTCAGGAAGACGCACTAAACCCATTAAATCACATACTTTACCACACTTATGTTGGTCCTTAAAGTTTCTCAAACCCTTCTTTCCTGTATTTCCTTCACTCCAAGTTAACCTGTGCAATGCAATACTCAAATACTCAGCTACTTACAATCAGAGGGATTAGTAATACGGAGTGGGACTTACAAACTATCATCCACAATCAATGGGTCAGTAAGGACACTTCCTACGCCTTGCAGGTCAGCAACTATCCGCTTGCCACTATAGTATTGGTATGACCAATGAGTCAGTGCATGCATCACATCATGAGTCATGTCACCTTCTGGCCCACGACACTCAAAGTTGACATTGCTAGTATACTTGCAATAATTCTTGACGTCAAGCAGTTCTTCAAAGAAATATGCTGAATCTGGACTCATACTTCTCCCGGAGTAGACTGGAAAGTTATTTACAATCTGCGATATTCAATATGGTTAGTATCATACTAGACATCAAGCTAGTTCCTAGACTTACACGTATGTCGCCAATTATTCTTGCTAGATGAGGGGAGAGCTTGATCCTATCAACTTCCAATGCCTTTTGCTTGAATTGCTCAATAACACTTGCGACCGCCGCATAAGTTCCACCGGATTCTCTGTGAACATCCAGCACAGATTTACGGTACGGCAAAACCATCCGCTTTTTAGCCACCATAGGTATCACATCACCTGTTGCATCCTTTCGAAAGGCTTTGTAGCATATCCTGAAACCGCCTTCACTAATTTTGATACTCTCATCAACCTTGAAATAATACTGAACTGCCTTCCATTCGGGCTTTCCTTTGGAATTGGATTGCATG